TGGATGTGTAATTTTCATCATTTATAAAGAACTAGAGTTGCCACTACCAAATAATTGATCGCCTCGGAAAGCTATTCAATCGCTTATTTGCGGTAAGATATTGGCTGCTGTTAATCAACAAAATGTTTATTATTATCGTACATGTTAAGGTTTTAAAGAAAAGTAAGTTTATTAAACTGTACGGTCACATATTGTTTACCGTTAATTCCTGAGATTTCCCATTATAAGATTCTTCTTTTCATTATAAGATCATTTCTTTAAGAGAGAGAGAGAGAGAGAGAGAGAGAGAGAGAGAGAGAAGAAACAGTTGTGAAAGTGCAAAAAATTATGCCGAATCGATCATTCGATATCGATCATTTTTGCCATTAGTTTGTACAATTACTTCTACATGAAATTCATATTTATTTTATTCATAATTTTTAAATTCATTGGCTTTGGGTTTATACTATAAAAATATGTATAAGTCGTTAATTTATTGTACATTTTATTATATTGATTTCAATATATAAATTAATAGAAACTTTAACCGAGGTCTTTTTGTTTTATGCTCAAAAATATTTGAACGTTAAAACTATTTGATAATAAAGTTTTAGATAAAATAAAATAAATTAATATTGATATTTACGAAGCTATAATATCCCACTGAGGTCTTACGTATTTTGTTTTTTGATTACATCAAACGAAACTATTATTATCATATGCACTTTAGTTTAGTAGATTTCTAATAATAACCATTTACAATTGCGAAAGATAAGTTAAATGAGCAATATATTGTTAATTATTTTTGTTTAGAGTATATAGGACAATTTTGTCAGTGTCGAGATATTATTAATTAACAATACGCGTTTAAATTTCACGCATTAATTGTAAAAGAGAGGTTAAAAATCTTAAAAATCTTAAAACTGTAAAATTATTGTGTATAATAAAGAAATTCATTTTGGATTTTGGAAGGTAATTAAAAAGGGATAGAATTTTAATTTACATAAAATTGGTTAAACGTTGGGAACTTCTTGCTATAGAAATTTATAATTGATATTTTTTTTCATGCATATCTTTCGGTGTGTAAGAATATTCGCAACTCAATTTTCGACATGCGATAGTAGAAAAAAAACATTTTAAATTTATTAATCAATAGATAATAAAGATAAATTTTTTTTTGTACATTTCACTACTTGTAGAATTTTTATATTATAAATAAAACTTTAATTAAATCGATAAAAATTTGCCAAATAGTTTCTTTACAAACTGTTTAAAACGAGTACATCTACATAATGTAATATACGAGGTCGCAAATCATGTGGTTAAAAAAATTTTTGAATATATTTGAATCAAATTAATTTAACTTTTTAAAAATATCTATAACTAATATATATTACTAATTAAAAGGAACCAATTCTAATATGCACATTTATACGCATATAAACTTGTTTTCAATGATAAACGAATCGATGTAGTTCGGGACACATTGTAAATGAAATATTCTCATATTTCATGTATTTTGAAAGCAATAATTCGAGGCATAAAATTTAATTAAACACTATTATATCTAAACGTAGAAATAATTCTAAGCGTCGTTTGTTCCTTTTATTGCCAATGTAAACGGTGTAAAATAGTTTTTAAAATTGGATGTGACAATACCAAGCTTTTAAACTTGGCACGGATCAATTTAATGCGAAAAGACATGTTTGTTTCTCCTATTCTACCAATCATAGTGGCTCGTTCTATTATAGCTGTCTTACGACATGTAGATTTTGACTTTTTAAATTAAATATGCGGAAAAATCGATTCCTACACAAGCAATAATAAATCTTTTCACGTCACCTTATCACATCAATATAAATTTGCTGATATCATACCGTAGGACATCTTACATTAAAATTGCACTGGATTATTGTGCGACTATCACTCAATCTTTGTTATCCATGGTTCTGGCACTCTTGTCTATCAAATAATGAGCATTGATATCCTTTTATATGCCTATATGATATATAAAATAATTAAAGAAATGAAAAAAATTCTCATTAAATCTATTTAAATATTTCATTTCATTAAACTGCTTGCTATTGAAATGTCAAAAGTAGATTTACGGAAGATAAACATTATTTTAATTAATAAAAATCAAATATTTTTATTTTAACTTTCGCACAATGAAGTAAATTTATCAAAATCATGATCAAATGTATTATAGTTTATTTTTCAAAAGTTACTTTCCCATAATTAATATATATTCCAATTTTACGTAAATAAAATTCACTATTGAACTATACATGTTTTAAATTGAGTATATGAACAACTCATGTTAATATTAGTAGTATAATAAATAAAAATATAATAGTATAATAACTAATGATTGCGATAGAAAATTTTACTTTCATCGTCCGATGCGCTATCGTTTACTATAATAGTTGTTGATAATTATAAAAAAATTAATAATAATTAAATCTATAAGTATTAAAGGGAACAATATGGGAAAGACGAGTAGCTTAAATTTCTTGAATATACGAAAAATCGAATCTAAATTTACGTTTCAATCGTTGATACATGAATAAATTAATAACGAAACAAATAAAAAATAATATAACATTTTAATATTTATTTACTAATTAGTGGTATTAAACAACTTGTGGTTAAAGTTATTTATTATATAATAACATTATAACTCATCTTATTTGTCATTTTTATTGATATGAAATTGCAATATTATAAAAAAAGTTATAAAAATTCAATCTTTTATTAAAAATTTGAATTTGATGTTATTTTTCTGTAGTTTTATGAAATTTCATTTTATTTAATTAAATCTCATTAAAAATGAGAATTTGTTGAATTTTTTAATACAAGTAGTATCTTAATATCGATTATTAAAAATAATTATTTGACTTAGGAATTTACGAATAATTTATTTACCGCTTATAAATATACTATTTTTAATATTAATTACAATTTCGTCAGTATTTTAATTTTAATTTAACATGTTATCAACAATTTCGTTAATTTGAATATCATGAAATAATTGTTTCTTATCGTTTTTTTTTTTTTTCATTTCTACTGCTAATATTGGCAATTGCATGATCTACAATTATAAAAATAAAAATAGTTTTATAGAAATTCAGTTACAAGAATAATTTACTTATGATGCAATTTAATATTTCAGTACATAATTGATGCAATTATATTAAAATCTCTATGTATCATAAACTCAAAATATATGTTATAATATACATTTATCTATGCTTATTTTTGTATTTAAGTTTATTGCTTTACTTAATTATTCCTTAATATCAGATACTTGTTAAATATATTAAAGAAATTTCAGTATTAATTTGATATTATTCGATATTATGAAAATTTTAACAATTTTTAATAACTGCCAAGTAAAGTTTTATTACAGTTACTATACGAACATCGTCTATAATCTTTAATATTGCCTGAACAATGTATATATATATATATATATATATATATATATATATATATAGAAATATAGTATATAGTAATTTTAAAAATGTTATTAATGAATTGTTGCATTATTTAATTAAAATTATTTAACAATATATTAATAATTTTTTTGTTTAATACTTAATAGTTATCATCCCATTATAATTAATTACATTATTATTTTCGATAATTATATACTTATCTGAATTCTTAATTGAAAATAATTTATAATATTTTTAAATATTATTTTTAAAAATTGGATAAGTATATACCTTATGCAATTTCTTAAAATACATATCATTTACATTTAAATCAAATATTCTATTTTTATATATTGTTCATCAATACTTTACTTAATAATTTTCTTTTATCTCATTTACTTCTATAATATAATTAGTTTAAAAAATATCCTAGTAATCTATAAATTTTACGGAAAATTGATTTAATACATTATCAAACAAATCTATCACTGATTATATTGTTTATAATAGCACTTTAAAATTATTTGATATTTCATTTATTTTGTTTGTTTATATCATTATATTTGATAATTTATTAAGCCTATCATATAGTTATAATTAATAAGAAATAAAATATATTAAATTCTCAATGTTGTCTAATTATCGTTAATTAGACGAATTGAATTATTGGGTGATTAAAAATATTAATTCAACCAACTAATATTTATTTAGATTATATCGAAAAATTCAGATTAAAATTTGCAAACAATTTTTTACAAATTACAGCACCTGACTTTTTCAAAAATGTTTCTTTTTAAGCAATGCACATATAAAATTAATATAATATGCATATTATTAATTTATAAAATCAAGTAATTGAATTAAATCAATTACTTTTCGGGGTTTTATTAAATTATGGATTTTAGTCATTATAGATTGTATTTACACTGCCATGAATATTATTACATAATACACATATACATGAATTAAGATAAAATATGCCAAATAATTTGGGAAAAATATATTTACATTTACACAATTTTACTATATATTAATTATAGTAATACATCTTCCGCTGACAAAATGAATCACATATGAATGCATTCAAGTGGTAAATGATGATCAGATGGAACTAAGTTGGCATTGGACTTCATTTTAATATTTACCGACATACTAGTAATAAATTTAAATTGAAATAAAATTAATAAAGCGGCACTAGTATCGTTTAGTAAATAGGTTGACAAACCTATTACAAAGTTTTACAAAGTTCCCAACCGTAGTAAACATTTACTAAGAAGCTAAATATAATTCGAATTAAAATGTTGTTAAATTGAAAAATTGAAAATAAACGAATCACTTGTTTTATAAGTTATTTATTAAAGATATTTTTTACATTATTTATTTTTATCTTATATTTTATTATACATTTAAACATTTTTAATATTCTATTTATTAATTTATGTGCAGAGAATATTAAATCGATTATTATTGTATTTTCTTAAATACTTTCTTCATGTTTAACTTAGAAATCTATCTAAATTTGTATTTAAATTAAATTTAAATTCATTTTTTACTTTTACAACAAAATACTTTCCTGCATATCATTACCTGTATTTGAATAATATAATAAATATCAAATTTTTATCTAAATAACTTTTTTTTGCGTTGGTTCAATTAGTTGATATTTTCCTGCAACGCCACCAAGTTGTTTTAATTCACGAAGCAGATTTTGATGATTTAGTTCTCGAAAAATGGTTACTGTTCTTTGCGTTTTTGGGCCATAACTTCGTGATTTGAGTCCGATTCCTTTAGCCATATTATGAATCATAGCTCTTTCGTCACTAGTAAAATTTGGAGAAAATACCAAGTCTGATGTCATAATGTCACTTTGAGCATAATTTTTTAATACTTTCAAGCACTTTTTTTTAAATAGTTGTTTATCGTAAAAGCCAAGTTCTAATCCAAGACCCTCTCTCGTCATTTTTTGTTGAACCTTAACAGGCTCGGTGATACCTTGAGATGATTTTCCTAATCCACCACCTGACCATCCCATTATCTTCATCATCTTTGAACCAATGTTATCATTATTGAGTGCATCCGATGCTGATTCCGATGCTTCTTCTTGTATCGATAGATCTTCCGTTACGGTTGGAGTTAAATTTTGAGTAACTTTGATTGTATAATAGACCTTTTGCATTTTTTCAAGAGCTATAGTCGCTGCTTTTCTTTTTGCTGCTATTTGATTGGCTTCTACAGCTTCGGCTATCAGACATTTATTGAAAAGTATACTGCATTTATAATTGTTATTAATTTTGTCAAATTTCCACTCTATGTTAATACCACGACTCATAGCAGCTCTAGATATTATACTTTGCGGTAGGTCATGTACATATTCAAATAGAATAATATCTTTGAAGTTGGGTTGTTCAAATATATCTTTTTTTTTTCTTTTTGTTTCCGAAGATTGCTCTTTTGTAGTTGGATCATGCTCTCTTTTGAAATTCTTATATAAATTATAACTTGTGGGTATAGACTGTGCAGAGATTTTTGGTTTTGATAAATCGTCTTGTTTATTAGTATTGTTTGAACTGAACTTTCCTGCAATAAAATGTTTTTTATATATAATTCAAAAAAATCTTACTGAAAATAGTTGTAATAGAACTTACACTTCTTTGCTATACCTTTAACCTTGGAAACAGCTGCATCGGAAGCTTCTACAAATGTTCTTTTTAATCTATTTGACTGCTTTTTCCTATAATCATCTACGATTCCAACAGATAAGTTGGATATGGTTTGCATTACTTTTAACGGATACTTGCATCCTAAAATTTCAATATTGGAAAAGGTTTGAGCAAGGCATAAAAGCTCATCTAATACAAATTTATTTCGATGAGCTAATAAAAAATTGCGTCGTAGTTCCCAATGTTCATCACTTTCATGTTCATCTTTATATTTCTCAATATTAAATTCGTCTATAGAATTCATTTGTAAACACTTTAATTTGAATACGTACAAATTCTTAATTCTTCTTTTGCTTCAATATCACAACTATTTTATTTTTTATACAGACAATAATAAAAAATGTTATAATTAATTGTAATTTATTGACTTTTTACTAAAGTGCTAAAAATTAAATAATATAATACAATGCTTTTGTTTTGTTGTCGTGTGTACTACCGATAGTACGTCGATTTAGGTTATGTTTGCTTGAATTATAATTTTAACAATTATTTCCTTATTAGCTGGAAATCTGTATTTTGGGAATAAAATGCCATCGATGCATTTACGTGGCTCAGTTATTTACACAATGAAGATTTAGTAAAATTTAATTAATATAGCGGGAATTATAAAATTGTTCATTTTATTATTAAACTTAAAGATTTTATGTAAATGTGAGAAGGGCCTGTGATAAAAAGAAAAAATTGTTTATTCCTAGTATTTGAGAAAATCATTTTGCCTACCATTAGATTGTTTAATAAGAATCGTACATATATTTTTAACGTCACGTATTAAAAAGTAACATTTCTACTCGATTCGTATTGTAAAAATTTGATTTCTTTACAAAAGATTATTTTATCAATTATATATGTATGCATGCATATGTGTATATATATATATATATATATAGATCTGTTAAAATTATAAATAAATTTTGGTATTTTGATATTTTTTAATCGGTACTAGATTACTTTTCAATATGCTCCAGTACTTTTAATAAATTAAATATACGATATTTGAATCAAGTTATAAAAGAAAGGAGTAACATTATTTTACAGAAAAACATTTACATTATTCTGTTTAATTTTTTGAAGTACGTTAATCTCATATGCCTCTAAAAAAGTAATAACGGGCTCAACTAAAAGATTAATAATATTATTATGATTATAATAGTATAATTATAATAATATTAAGAAATAAGTGTTCAGAAGAAAGATAGCGCAGTTGAAGATACAAATATTTATACTTTTTTTTTTTTACAAAATTCGAAAAATCGTTTGATTAGCCAAAGGGGAAGTTCGGTGGTTTAATGCTGTTCCACTGTTCCTTGGAATATATTGAATAGATTTTTATACGTATGAAAACCCCTTGTTCATCAGGTAGAAATTATAACTCAGCAACAATATGTAAAATTATAAATATTACTTTACGAGCAAAATAATTACTAATTATCGTGTAAGTTGTTTTGCAATAAATATAAGGTTAGTTAGTAGGCTAACTTCATATGAATATACAATTATTTATTATTCAAGCATAGACATAGCTTTTAAATATTTTCAAAATACTTTAATTATAGTAACAAAATAAAAAAGAAAAAATTTATATGACTGGTTAAATAATAATTTAAATGACAGGTTAAATAAAAGATTTTATTACAATAATAAAGACAGTATTTTAGGTTTAGGTTGTATTATATTTAAATATACAATATTGTTTATGATATTTATACACTAAATAATGTCTTAAAATTATTTAGAATATTCATTATATTTATGAATTTGGTTTTTTATTAATTGCAGGTATCATACTTTTTGAAAAATAGGTATTCTTAGAAGATGACTGCATATTATAATACAATGAAATCACCAATAGGTAAATAATTTAAAAATTCTAAATTAAGTATCAAGTTAAATTATCAAATAAAACAAAAGATATAGGATTGTGAAAAATTCAATAATTATATGACTTTCATAATCTAACATTTTATACATTATTTTTTTATCTAATTAATTTTTTGTTTGATATTTAATAATATTGAATTTTGTTTAAGTTATTTTAGAAAAACTTCCTATCAACCTTGAAAAAAGTTCTTATATAAAAGAAGAACTTATCATTTCCGATATATCAGATCATTCTGGTTTGTATTTCTAAAGATTTTGCATAATTTAATTTCAATTTCTTATTTTTAATTTTCTTTTTAATTTACAGAGAATGAATCGAAGCCAATAAGTAATAATAATTTAACGTTAAAAAATGTTAAACATAAATTAATTAATCAAACACAAGATTATAAGACTGCAAAAAATTGTTCAACTAGAGGTAATTTCCAATATATAACTTCATATCTTCTCTATTTACACATATCTATTGAAAGCTTACAAATTAAAAAAAAAATTTTCCTTACAAATTATAAATCATATAATATTTAAAAATACATAGAACAAATATATAGTATGATTAACTAAAAGAATAAAGAAAAACAATTTACTTTTATACAATATATCTTTTTAATTATAGATTCTTATAAATTAGGTTCAAATGAATTTTTATCAAATTCAAATGGATATTTAAATAATTTGAAATCACCAATAGGTAAGAATAGAGTTCATATGAAATATTCAACTTCATGTTTCAAATAATTTTTTATTGTTGTCAGTATAATGAGCTGTTGAATATTAATATTCTTATGTTTTATAGTTGTTTTGGAGAGGCTTTCTATTAAACTTAAACAGCGTTTATTACTTAAAGATGAAGCTAGATATTCTTATTCGTCCGAATATTCTGGTAAGTGTATGCTTAATAAAATTTTATTTCAATTATAATTAGTTTTATAATACGCTTTATATGTATATGTGCAACAGATATAGGAAAACCTATTTTAATAGTCAATAAAATAATAATTCAAATATTATTTAAAAAATATAATCATTATGTAGAAAAGTTATGTATATTTTAGAAAATACGAATTTACATATTTTTCTGCAAAAATATGTAAAAATTATAAGAATGAAAAATGAAACTAAGGAAGAGATAGATATTTACATGTATTTGGATTTGTTTTAAAAAAATGTTTGTGTATTTCATCAAATAAATATTTTATTTATTTTGCAGATTATAAAGAATCGAATGCTGATTATTATAAACCGTATGACAAATATTCTACTAATAAAGTAAAATTAGAAAATGAAAATAAAATGCCTGAACTGTTAAGCATAAAAAAATCTTCAGGTAATTAAAAAGAGTTAATTCGATTTAAGTAATTTTTTCTATCAATAGTATAAATTTATGCACATATATGGGTAATAAGAAAAATTCGTTTCAAAATGGCAAAGTAACTATGAAGTAATTTGTTCTAGATTTTATATTGTAGGTTATGATAATAATATTCACAATAAAAATAAAATCATTAAAAAATATCTATAATTAAAATAAAATTTTTAAAAAAACTACCTTATGTTTATCAACTTATATAAGTATGTACTTGATTTAATTAAAGCGATAATAATAATTAAAATTAAAAAAAAGTTGTATTATCTAAATTTTAGTGGATGGATGGATTTCTATTTTCCATGTTCATAATCACATATAACAGTGAAAAATAATACATCAATTAGTTTAAGTGAAACTAACGTAATAATAATTAAATAAATATATAAATAATTTTAGTAGCTAGAAAATAGAATTTTATTTTTACTTTATTCAAACTGATTGTAGTTTGATAAATATTTTCAAATTAGATATTTTATATTTTAAAATCTTATTTAGAATTTTTTTTTGCAGAGTTTTTTGAATATCAAGATAATTCTCAACAGCATCATATAACAGATATTGCTCTGTTATTTGATATTTCAAATAGTTCTGGTACATATAATTTTATGAAATAATCTTAACGTAATAAATTTTTTAATATATTAATATAGATGCTCTCATTTTTATATAATTTATATAGATGAAAATGTAGTAAATAAGACTAGAACTAATGCAATGACTATTGCAAACGAAAGTTTATTAGAATTCATTTCTGAAAATAAAACTAAAGATGCTATTGAGTTCAATAAAACATTGTTTGACTCAATAAGTCATAGAACATTGTACAATTTTAAAGGTAAACATAATTCGTTAATTGTCAAATTCATAAAAATTTTTGGAACATTAGTAGAGAAATTATTGTATAGTTTAACAAATTACTGTCATGCAGTTTAAGATAATTTTCATGCTGTCATTTAATGTATATTATTATCAATACAAGTTAATTTTTTTATAGGTTTAAAAATGAAATTATTTAAAGAAAAATGTATTACATGCAATAAAATACAACAGAGAATTGGCGACAAAATTTCAACTAGATGTAATACTTGTGAGGCAGCCGTATATTATGAATGTTTAATATGCAGAAGTCAATACAAGTATCCTGCTGGCATTTATACTCACATAAGTTTAAAGCATACAAACTCAGATACTTCAAAACCTGTCAAATGCGAAAGATGCGGTATAGAATTTAAAGCACAGCGTAATATGAAGGAACATTTAAGATATTGTAAGGTATTACCTTACATGAAGTGTGAATTTTGTTCTATGATGGCTAAACGCAAAAACTGCCTTCGAAAACACATATTAATAAAGCATAAAAATGATATTCAAGCAATGGATATTGAAAATTTGTTACAAAAAATTGTTGAAAATTCGCAGGAATTAAGAAGTAAAGAGCTTTACTCTTTTTACAGTAAAATTAATGATTATGTAAAGAATTTAAATATTATTACTATATTACAGGACAAGCAATAAGAAGGGCTGAAATTGTATATGGAGGTTGTACTTCATCTAGAGTAGAACCATTTCGTAAGTATCTTCATGATAAATAAATAATGGATAATCATTTCAGTTGCTTTATTAAATTCATAATTCCTAATGAGCTGCACGATTTTTTTTAGCTATTGCAAAGCACATCAAGCTCTTCTGCAAGAAATGCAATACTACATTCAAGAAACTGCTGGGTATGGATCAGCGAAGTTGTCGAATATGTGGAGCCCAACTGTTCATGCAGTGTGTCAAATGTGACAGCATTTATAAATTTCGTAGCAGTATTTCCATGCATCTAAAGAGCAAATGTGTTTTGAACGATAACTTGGTACTGCACTGCAACGATTGCAATTACATTACCTTCACCAAACAAAGACTTAAGCGACATATATACCGGAAGCACATGTTGATTAAACTAGAGAATTATTTAAAATGCAGAATATGCAGTAAGGGATTCAAATTCAAAGAAGATCTATTGAATCGCCAACTAAACTGCGAAAGCTTAAAGGAGCGTATCTGCAATATTTGTAGATTCAAAACTAATAGAAGAACGAATCTTAGCCTACACATGAAGAATAAACATACACCGACGAAATTGCTTGAGGAAAAGATGCACGTCGACGTGAACGTTAAAAGTATAAAAATATCATTTAAAATAACAATAGTTATAAAAGTATTTATCGAACATTTCTTTTGCGTAAACAGTAGTAGGTTCATAAAAGTAAGCTTTTATATATAGCCAAGCCAGTATATAGTAGACGTTGAAAAAATGTATTAATCATTGTTATATATATTTGAGATATTTATCTACAAATTTATTATAAATTTTGTTTATATACTTTGATAATGCTTTTCCATTATATGAGAGAAGCTTTTTTTTTTTTTTTTAAGTATTTATCAAAACTTAGTATATTTTTTAAGTAAATCTTTGTCAGAAAGCATGTTATCTAAAGTATTTGTGTATTTTTCATTAAAATTACAAAGCTGCAAAAGAAACATTCTAACTAAGTTTTATATTATCTCTAATAATTTATAATTTTAATTTATATATTTTCTTTAATTTAACAGTTGTGGCGGATTCGATTGCTACATATTGTTCGAAATGCAATTCATATAACAAGCCCATAGAAAAGATCACCAAATGTCTATACTGCAAGACTCCAGTTATTTATTGCTGCAAAAAATGTAATTTGCAGAAGCAGAAATATGTACGTATGCGTATTCACGTAATTCGGAAACATGGCGAAAAGATTTACGCGTGCACCAAAGGCTGTGGTATTTCCTTCTCTTATTTGTATGATTGCCGTCAGCACCAGAGATTCTGCGGCAAGAAACCACATCTCCATTGTGATCAATGTTCTTTTAAAACTAAGTACAAGCATACCTTACTTGCGCATAAGCGGCGTAATTGTACTGGTATCGTCTATACTCATGTACCTGAGAAAAAAGTTTTATGCTACTGTTACTACTGTGACAAACCTTTTGAAAGTAAAATCCAGAAGCTTCGTCATGTAAAATTATGTAGCAAAACCACATCTTTCTTATTTTGCGATCACTGCAGTTTCAGGACGGTTTTCAAACCTGTTTTGATAAATCACATCCAATCTAAGCACGGTGCCCGTCTATTCAGGGGTATTAATGCATTCCACTGTAAAAACTGCACCAAAGTCTTTAGAAACTATTTTGTCTATAGTAAACATATCGAAAATTGTCGTTTTCGGGAAAAGAAAACGTAGCTTTACTCGTCTTACTATCTTAATACGTTTACGTATTGTTCGGAATGTATCATCAATTTCCATGATGATATAAAACAAAACAAAAAAAAACAAAAAAAGAAAAGAAAGCATTCTTGCGATGTATTTGAAAGAAAAAAAAAACACGATTAAAAGTTTTATATTTTAATTGAATCTAAAATATTAAAAAATACCTCTTGACTGCCATTGTTCAGCTACATTATTATTGTCACACTTTAATGATACTTTTAATAGTTTTTTTTTTAACGATTTTAAAGCAAATTCTACATTCAAATTGATTGATAATAGTGTGTTTTAATATCTTTTATATGCTTTTAAATTCCAATAATTATTTTAATGAATATGTATACACATATACGAATTACAATTGAATTTCCATTTTAATTTTAATGTATGTAAGATAAAATACATAATTTATTTATTAGTACTATTTTTATTTAGCTTAAATTTAGTGTTGCTAGTACAATAATTTTAAACTTTACGTTAACATATTTTATTCATTAACGTAAAAAAACAAAAGTGGCCAAGTTATCTATGCATTTAATTTTTATTTCATATTTTAAATCTTAATATAAACGATTAAATAAAAGTCTGAAGACATAGCACTTAAAAGTTAATAGATAAAGGGCAAATGCTTTATGTTAATAATAATCTGAAAGATAAGCATTTACTAAAATTTGCCATTAGTTAAGTCGTTCGAAATTAGATTAGATCTCAAACGAAGAGATACAATAATCTATATAAACTTTTTATTGATTAACAGTATAATATGCAAATGAAAATTATACAGAACTGACTAAGTGATTTATTTGAATCTAACGATTGCGCTTGAATGAATTAAGCTTCACGAAACAAATTCAATATTGATATAATTTTTAATTATACAATTTAATTAAATTATATTATATAATAATTTATTTAAAAGAATATTTTATGCAAAGTTTTTATAAAAATATTTCTATATACGAAAATATAGTACTTTTAATTCATACAACTATCTTATATTTTTGTTTATTATGTTTATACTATAATTTTGCTCTTACTTCTTTTTTGTACATCATTATTGGAAGAATGTAACTTTTCATATTAATACTTTGAAAATAACATTCATAGTTGCTAATATGACATTGTATTTGTATAATATAAATTTATTTTTCTATATAAAAATCGATAAAATTGCAAAGGTATTTATACATCAGTACATCAGTACGATCATTATTAATAACATTATATTAAACAATCTTTACATTACGACTATCTAAAATAAATTTGCTATAAAACCAAAGACGGGACAATTTAATTTAATTCGGGACAGAAGTTTATATTTGTAAGAGTAAAGCAAATTTGATCATTTTCTAATAATTACATATATTTACCTATTTATAATCACAATAGTTTTACAATTATTTTTATAATTTTTTTTTTTTTTTTTCTTTAATAAATTATTTAAGTTTTTTTATGTGAGAGCATAAATGTAAAATTTATCAATAGTGATTAAAAAATATATACTTATTTATTGTTTTATAAGACAAAATTATGCATTGAATTTTAAAGAAGTAATATTTTTTTAACTTATAAGTACTTCGTTGAAATGTAAGTTGTTAATATATTTATAAGACTTAAAAGCAATTACGTATGTAAAATAGTATAACTACAAAGAATTAATATTGGTTAAAATTTATAAAAAAAAAAAGTGGTTTAATAATTAATAGTAAAACAAAATTCTAGTGTCATTAAATTAATGCTGGAAAAGAAAATTTTTAAAAGTTGAAATTTAATTTTCAACATATCCGATTATTTAATGCAAAAAATACTTGTTAATAAAATTTTATTTTTTTCACAAACTAGTCTTTAGTAGATAATATCTACATAATTATTAATAATATACAAATTTACTATTACTTAATTATATAACGATAATTATTATAATGTACCGAGTTATTTATGTTTAAAAATTATTATAACTTTTAATTTAAAATTAAAAATTTTTAATATCCGTCTTCCAAAAAAATTGAGTTAGAATTTTTTTATCTTTACACAAATAAATGTTTATTTGCATATTAATAGTATGCTACATGATTTTTATATAGATTCATATAGGTCACACACGCACACGCACGCGCGCGCGCGCACACACACACACACACACACACACACACACATATATATATATATATATATATATATAAATATACTAAGTATATTTTAATCGAGAATAATAATTGTAGTTTATAGTCCAATACTAGATGAATATTTACGGATAAATAGATATTCTCCGATCGTTCCTTTATTAAATTAGTAACTATATAGTACAATATTAATGTATAAGAAATTTAAAAATAATAATAAAATATTTTTATATACCTAAGGATAAATCACTAAAATTTCCATACAATTTTATTAGACGCCTGTATAATACATAAATAAACTCATGTATAAATACGTAATAATAGGATATATACTTTGGACATTTTAGTGTACATGATTTTGTAAAAGATATAATTTTAAAGAAATCAGTTTATTGATATAATGATAAAAATCAGTGTACACAAATTTCGTTAACAAGTAGGAGGATTCAATGATAAGATACAAATAAAAATTTTTAAATATGTATTTAAATTTTTATTTATTTTTATTTATTGTTTTAAAGCTCATATCGCGGATTATAAAAACCTAGTTTTCTACAGAATTTAATTTCGAATTTAATTTTAATATAATTAAAATAGTACAAATAAAACATTAAAGTCTTACATTTAAATCGTTGAGTACTTTTAAGCGATGAGCTTATAATAGGGTAGAGGATTTGTATCTTGGAATTTTATTTCATTATTTACTTAAAAATAAATTGTCAATGGCCATATTATCATATATTTATTTATTTCTCACTTATTAATTGAATTAATAACTTTTTTTTTTTTTAACACATTTTAATTTCTAAAAATTTTGTTCGTTTTTGCATTTTATAAAGAATTTTCACAAGTGACATCAAAGCAACTTTTTATTCCTAAGATCTATAAAAAAATATTAAAACTGAAGTTTTGATGATAATTAATAAACTACATTATTTATAATCTTTAATAAATATTTCAATGAAATTTTTAATTGTGAAATAAATCTACGTTGTATTAATTTTTATAGTTAGCACTTTATCTTTTAGTTTAACCAGTGACATCATTTCTGAAATAGTTGCACATCCATTTTGTTCAAAAAATTTCATAGCAACATTTAAGCCATTTATAGCCTCATTGGCCGATAAAATTTTATTTTCCTCGCACAGATTTTCTGCATCTGCAAATATTAAAATTACGAATTACGAATAAAGGAGAAATAAACGTGATAAAATGAAATTTTCAAAATTAGTCAATGCAATTCGTCAATTACATCTATTAAAAATATTTCTAAATAACACTTTTAAGCGATTAATAAGTTTGTATAATTAATTATTTTTACAATGAGAAAAGAAGTTAGTATTGGCAATCTTTTACACAATTATATTCGTTATCTTTGCACTTATAAATATTAATTATTCTTTACTTCAGGGGTTCTAATTGTCTTATTAGTGTAGCATAATAAATAACTAAACAATTTATTAATCGCATAGATTTTGAAAAAATATTTTGCATATCATACAATTTAGACTGTTTATATACAAAAGTAAGTAAATAAATAAAAAAAAAAAAATATATAGTTAGATAAATAATTTTTTTGTAACGAGGCACGAGAACTTCCTATATATTTATAAAGTGAGAATTTATAAAATTAAATGAAATTTTAAGTAACAGTAACATTCCATTACGTGAATATGGAAAAAAAAAATAAATAAATTGAGTAAAATATTAAATAAAGCTTTTGTACTAAAAGTACACCAATACAATTAAAAGAGAATATATTATTTGTTTACCATCGATTAAATCTTCATTTGAATCTTTAACGATTTCTATTATATGGTTATCAATCGATAACCTAGCTGATTCATTGTTTTCCGCAATCCACTTAGCCACTTCATCTTCACTTATGTTCCTGTATTCGCGTATACCCCTTAAGGTCTCAAAAATGGTAAAAACATTGACTTCTTGAAAATCGTTAGACTGCTTATTATCTTCTTCGGTGTTGGTTAAAAACTTTTCCCAACACTTTACAATAGTTAATAGTCTAACTTCGTCCCACGAATTACTAATCCAATAAATAAAATCACGTAGATTTATTCTTTGCAAATGATCGGACATACTTTCACCATCATTCTGAGCACTAATAATCGATCTCAACAGCTTATATTCGTAATTTAATTTAATGCTTTCTAAGATCTCATTATCGAACGGTCCTACAATTAAGCTCAAATTGTGCAATATAAGATGTATTTGTAATTCACTAGTTGGTCGATTTTGAAATGCATCGGATGGTACATTTTCGGCAATTAAAATTGTTTTTAACGGGAGATTACGATCTTTCAAAAAATTGGCAACTCGTGGTGCGAATTCGTTATCAAACCACTCATTCATGATATGAGTGTCCACCCAAAGAGTCGTTTGATGAGAATAAAAAATAGGAAGGCTATTTTGTAAGTTTACGAGTGATGTTGATTTTATCGATTTGCCGAGCACAACGAGCGGCAATTTGAAACTTCCATCCGCATTAGTGCACGACATAATTGTTATTCGGTCGCCGGGGAATCTTCTATTTGGCAATGATTTATAATTCAATGCCGTTTTATCGCACTTGAATATCTGACATCGTAATAAAGACTCATCCTCAACTGCTTTTCTCAATGTCATCATCAATTGGTTGACCGCGCTATCTTCAATCGGTTTCTTCTCCTCCTTGAACGTAAAATCGGGCAAACCATACTTCTTCTTCCAATTGCTAAACCAATCATTACTTGCGGCGAAATTTTCCTTTCCACTTAGCAGATTATTTAGTTCTAAAGCTTTTTCTAAGAAAATCATAATAATTTTATTCAACAAATGAACTTTCACTTCTTTTACAGGCAGTATGGGTATGCAGGTGTACAGGTAGTAAGTAATGAGTCGTGTTATTGGAAAAATTTATTATCTTAATAAAGCAACGTCAATATTAAATAGAAATAGATGGGGATATTTATCTATTCGTTTGCAAACATTAGGATAAACAAAAAGTTCAGTTCACCGACTGGAGGTAATTAAGAAGTGTATATAATTTCTAAATAGTCCTATAATAAGTACACGTATACTAGTCTTTAAAATACTATTTGTTATTTTTTAACTTTCATGTAAATGCAAATTAAACATACGAAAGATTAAATACATTAATTACACTAAATCTATTTGCAAATTCATAAATACATTGATGATATAAACTCTTTTGTCTCTCTGACATTCGAGGATCTCGAAAATCCTCAAACAAGATCAAAGACCAAACGTGTCATAAAATCGTTTTAAAAAATAATTTTAGTTAATTTAAAAACCAGTTGAGGAGTTAAGGAGTACAAACGTTTTTATGCGCAGCGGCATATATTAGTTATAAAGAAAGCACTGAGCACAGTTTGCAAAAGTTGCCTACCTCTGAGCATGAGACCGGATAATTGCACGTTCTGTTGCTTACAGCGGTTATACCAGGCGATGAGCGCCTCGCCTACGTAAGGATTATCTTCGTTCCTGAGCTTCTTACGGCTCGAATTTTCATCATGCAGGGCATCGCGTATCTTTTGCTCGTCGTGCACCCAACGTCGTAATGTGCTCTCACCGATCCCGTACTCTTTTCGTACCTCGGCCTTTGACCGTCCGAACCTCACGTCGTCCAGCACTCGCACTTTCTCTTGCAAGGAAAAATTCTTTACGCGTCTCTTGGCTGCGGGCAGAAAGTGAGATACGAGCTGCGCTGTTAGGGACGATACGGCTTGACTATTACGAAACTAACCAGGATTATCGGCGACATTATCCAGTTGCGGGAATGTAAATTCGTTCTTAAGATAGACTTTATGGGTAGCATTCATATCAATTTCTATAATGTTTACAGTACTTTGAAACACCATGGCTTGTTAGGGGTGGGGGGGGGGGTGGGGGGGGGGGCAAAAGGTATTTATAAAAATTTTGATAGTTACCAGAATTTATGTAAATTGTCTCTGGCTCATTCTTTTCGCAAATGTTGTTGGAGCAGAACAGCTCGCTATTATCTGTAATTTCATGATGCTCATATAATGATTGATTGATAATATTGGCAAATTATTAATTGCACTTTATGAAGATTTACGAACCAGAATAAGCTGACATGATGATTATTTCGTTTTTAATTGACGATCAATATTTAAGTAAATGATTTTCTGGAACAGGTACCAATTAATGTGGAAACATAATTTTACTAATCTATTCACATAATAATTCCATTACTTTTTTTTTTTCTTTTTTTTTTTTTTTTCTAACCATTCGGCACTATTTTTTGCTCTATTTATAATAGAATCGATACGTAATTATAATTACATTTATTGCTATTCTTACTCTCTCTCTCTCTCTCTCTCTCTCTCTCTCTCTCTCTCCCTAATTGTTAATATTTTTTAATTAAATAAAATTTAAGGCATTGTGTATGTGATATATGTTTGTACATATATAAGTTGTTTGATTTTCACCCGAAAATTTTTAATTCACAATTTTTTTTATAAAATTTATTTATTTTTTTTTACTGATAATACTATATTACATAAAAATATATATCCAATTAGTAACGATTAATAGTTTTGAGCATGTTGCAAAGATTATAAAATAATATGGCAATAGTACTACTCCCTCAATTTTCCGGAAATAATCATTAAAAATGCAATAGTATTAAAGCATTTTTTTTTTATAAAAATAGTTGGAAAATCCGTATTGCTAATAATAATTTTATTATTCAAAATCTATTGTGATTATACTTTAAATGAATTTACCCTGTAACTTTTATCTTACTTTTATAATATTTTTAATATTATACATTTACATTTAAAATAATATTCAACAATTGATATATTATTTCTTAACAATCATAACCACGTAGTATCAATTTTATTTTGCTTCTCTTATTGATGAGAAAATAAAGTATTTCGGTAATTAGATCTATGAACGAAATTATTGCAATGTTATATTATAAATTTACATTGATTAATAATTGATTAGCCGAGAAAATTTAATTTTTTCAATTATATGAATTTATCATATTTATAATAAATACGATTAAAACGTATCATTTCATTATATATTTTATTTATAATTAACATAAAAACAATAATTTTATTAAACAATGAATATAAATAATACAAATATAAATTGCACTTTCGACATTATATGTTCAATATATTTATTCATTATTTATATACTTAAATTTAAATATTAATCATAACTTTGATTAAAATTTTTATTTAGAAATTACTTCAAATTGTTTAAATAATTAATTATAAACATTTCATGTATTAGATATAAAAATATATAATGAGAGTATATTTTAAATAAAATAACTATACACATATGTAAAACTAGATTTAGCTCAAAATATATTTTATCATTTATATTTGTAAGAGTTTTAAATATCAATAGAATATATCTTGTAATATTAATTTTTATTTAAAATTTATCTAATAATAATGTTTTGTTTATCCACACCTCTTATGTATTATATCTACTATTACAATTATTATTTTATATTAGAATAATAAGACAGCATAGGTAACAGTCATTGATGTTTAGTATGTCATAATAATTGAAACCTTATGTTAAAAAATATTTTGCAAATATAAGAAAGTTTGTTTTTATATTCTAATTTTCAATATTGTCTATATATATATATATATATATATATATATATATATGCCTGTCTGTTTGTTAGTATGTGTGTAGAGTTATAAAAACAAAATTCCAAAATACAAATAAAGTAAAAAATATTAACCCTTTTTTATCAGAATGAAATATAAATATTTTGATTTTAATTTTTTAATTTTTAAATATAATAAACCTATGAATTATATAATGTTAAATATGGGGTTTTTAAATACAACAGTCAAAAATATATGGTTGATCAAGAATTCTTTTACACACTTTTAAAATAAATTTAAACTGATTTCTATAATTGTGTTTCAAAACATAAATATTATACATAAATACATAATGTACTACAATATATACAATTTTTATTACAATGTCATTATAATAATGTATTTACAAAATCATATAAATAATAAATTTTAAAGTAAAACTTACTTGAATAGACAGATATAAGTAGCATAATACAGATGTTTATAAAGTGTTGCAATGCATTAATTTATGATAGTTACAATAAAAACATTTTAATTTATCATTTAGAAAAAAAACTTATTCATAAATGGCTCCAGAACAAAAAAAGATATCTGAACACCTGCATTTTAGTAGTAAATAACCTATAAATTAATTTGTTATAATGCAACCATTATTAAACATAGTATAAGGTGGTCGACTAAAATAAGCGTTAATTAAATTCTCTATATATATTTAAGAATATTCATTTTCTAGTAAAATAATCAAAAATATATAAAAATGAATTGAAAAATTATAAATTAAATGGTTTCTATATAAAACGTGACACTTACTAGCCCTTTTTACAATAAATAAATTGTTAAATTCTTTAATTATTTATTGATTACATTTGAATTATAAAACACTGCTTATAATATTTTTTACATTCTTGTATTTGACTATATCACAGAATAAACAGTAATTGAATAACATAATACGGCAAAATTACAAATTCATTGTATCGTTACACATTCAAAGCACATTTATGCATATATATATATATATATATATATATGCACGCGCGCGCGTATGCTTTACACATTGAAGCGTGCGTGCATGGCCGGTGTAAAGAAGTAAACAAACGCAAAACGCAATAGTACAACGTACATCATAGTGAAATTGGTATATATGGAAAGGAAATCATCGACATATATATATCTTTATTTGAAAACTTAATGTAATATTAATATTAATGCTATATTATTATATCTTACGTAACTATTTACTTAAGAAATGAAAGTGAAAAAATGGTAATGTAAATAATGAGTTATATGATATTTTTCTACTAATTAATGAATAATATTCAATTTCATAAAAATTGATATTTATACATTTATAATTGAATTTAAAATAATTTGTATGTATAAATACATATATTCAATACTAAATTTATTTATATATTTGTAAATTTTCATACATTAAATTGAATGAAAAGAAATTTCAAATTAATTTGCAATTTAATTATAAGAAATTTTTATATTTTTTTACCTGCAAAAATGATTTTTTTAGTAATAATTTTTATGTCATTTTTATCATTAATTTTTATTATTATTTGATTCTTTTGGAATAGTATAGTTTATGGTGTAACGTATGTTTGTTCTTATATTCTGTATTTGCGAATGTAAATGATTGAAAAGAGATTATTAATAAATAATAAAATTGTAATTAAAGACTTTCTTATAATGAAATTTATATTCTTTTTATATACTAGAAATTTCATACCATTTCTAAATCTTTATATAAGAATATAATCTATATAAAAAATTATTTTTACTACCCTTACCAACTATTGTTTATTTATATTGCCATAATAATTTATTTATCGTAAAATTTATTAAATTATATTTTTATAATAAAATTCTAGTTTAAAAATTCACCTGATGTCGTATTTATATAATTATCTAGAAATTTATTAAACTGTTAAAGCACTGTCGAGGGCTTGTATAATTATTCCTTTATAAATCAATGTTTAATTCATATAGATTAAATATAATTTTTTTTTCATTGTATGTAATATTCCTTTCTTAGTAGTAAATTCTGTAGTATATTATATATAATTATAAAAAAAAAAAAATGCATTATTAAATGGCTCATATAATTCATATCATTAATTATAATCATATTTTTATTGATGCTAACATAAATAATTAAAGAGCAATAATAATTTTAAATATCGCATATATTGCTTTATCCGAGTTTCTTTTAGAATTCATATATTTCTTAATGGGCAATATTTATAAATTATTTTGTCTTTTTGACCTTAACAGTTGAACAATTGAACCACCTAGTGATAAAATAAATAAATATAACTATCTAAGCTTTAAACTTTAACTTACGTTTGACCTGTCGAAAATATTTGAGTAATATACACAGATAATTCAATTAATCTTGGCTGTGATGTTTTTCTAGTAAGTTCTCGATTAGTTCCTACGTAATTTAGAATTATATTTATTATATAAAAAATAGCGTTTGTACACAAACAAATATATAAGTTTTATTGTTCAATAAAGAATAATTAATTATCCATTACGTATATTAATCAATTACATATACATAATTTTATACATAGTGTTATACATGATATACATGACAGTTATACATGTCACAGTTATGCATGACAATATTAATGGTACGTTGAAATGGAACATCGATTAATTATTAATAGAGTTAAATATTTTTTTTAATAACAAATTTTTGTTATTACTATTTATTATATTCTTCTATAATTACTTCATAGTCATTGCTATTTACACTTTAGATATTATTTATGGCTTTCCATCAACTTAACTCTAAATAATTTTTCAATATACTTAATATTAGTTTATTATAATCTTTATTACAAGTTTAATTGTAAAGATTTGTAAAAGTTATTTATACAAATAAGATAGACATTTATTTATCTTTATTCACCGATACATAACGTTATTTTATTAATCAATAATAATATAAACAATTTTCTAATGCTTTATGAAATTTAAATATTAAATCATATATAATAAGTCATTTATATATAATAAGTAATTTATTGTATTTAATATGTTAAAAAATTTCAATGTAAATATTATATGAATACGTATTACCAGATATAAGAAAGTATCTGAAAAATTTGAATTTGTATGAAACTTTTTTTTTAAATACATTTTTATAAATATCGTATTATGATATATTTTTTATTAAGCCTAAATTGAAAAACAGTTCGTTATTTAAAGTAGAATTTAGTAAACTAGTATAAATTTATAACCTACAAAATTTAAACTTAAATTATTTAAAAATGACATCAACGACTCTCTATTGTTAATAAAAGAAATATTTAAAACAAATTATTAAATGTTCTTACAACAGTGAAACTTTATTTAAAAGAAAAGAAAGCATAATTTTTAACCATATTAAAAATTTTATTATACAAAATCAGTTACAATGTTTAAATAATATCATTTTGAATAATAAAATAGTGCATTTGGATCACATAAAAATTTGTCGAATATGGTTGATATTATCAGTAATATTTGTTAATAACATTCTTTTTCATTCAGTTATTATAATTGTATTCTATAATGATCCTCTGTGTACCTAATACAGAATTATAGCATTTTTATAATATATATCATTTATTAAATCGATAATCTCCATAGTGTCTGAGTTTTTTTAAAGCATCGTGATTTTGACTGTCTGCTCTGCTTTCATATATTTGTAGAATCTTGCGGATTTCACATAATATTAACAAGACGGCCAAACAATAAATTCAAATACTTACTATCTTAGCGTAAGTTAATAGTAACTGAGCAAGACATTTTTCCGGCATAAATCTGTTTTTCTACGGATGATCGAGTTTCGCTTACACAATACATATTTAAAAAGCAAATATCCGAAGGTACTTTATCTGTAAATTTTATTTTATTAAGTAAAATCAAGAGATGCACGTGATTAGAACGAATTTAATTTAACATCAACTACTATATTAAATATACATTTTATTTCAAATTTATTTCCTATTTCATAAAAGACTAAAATTAAAAAAGAATTTATGTCAATTTCTGTTACTTTCACCTATTAAATACGTAGCAATTTCGATCCGAAAAGCTGAATATTTTTTTACAAAATTTATCAAATACTGTCGAACAATTCACACAATTTCTTTATATAAAACTCAGCTTATTATTGAATAGAACATTTGTTATCCAATTTAGGTACATACTCAGTATTGTTTATTGCAGCCGTTATGAAATCTATATAAGAATAAACTCTTGTATATATATCAGGTTTGCCTACAGCACATGGACGAACAAAAGATGCAACACCTACAATCTCTCCGTTATTGATTAGCCCAACGCCACTATCACCCTGTAATTTTATGAAAAAATAATTATTTACATTGCTTTAGTATTTAATTTATGAAATAGCTAAATACAACTCAGTACATATTATATTTCACATTATTTAAAATTAATTACTAATATATATATATATATATATATATATATATATATATATATATATATATTTATATAATGATATATAATAATAATAATAATAATATATAATTAAATAAACATTCATGACGTTAAATACAGAATTATCATAGACATCGACAAATACTGAACTTTTGATTATAAAATTGAATTTTTTAATTATATCTTCATTACAATATATATTTTCACAAAATTTTAGATACTTGTTTAACAGAAAAAAAGCCTAATTTTTTTTTAATATCGATTTCTGAAATGTTACATTTGAATTCGTTACAAATGTAATCCAATTATAGTCTAAAAAAAAATTGATATAAATTGCATTAAAAACCAAAAAATACGATTTGTTTGGATCACAATATTAAATTAACATATTTTTCTCATTTGTGAAATATTAGAATGGTTACTTAATACTGAATGTACATCTGAATTTACAGAATCAACCTCATACATATATTAATTGACATAAAATATTTATATCTTCCGGAAACATTCACGTACTGAAATGTTATATTCTTCTTAATTCTATTCTCTATGTTTTGAAAGATTAATAAACATGTTAGAGCGACTTACGAAACACGCGCCAATTCCCTCCCCCGCAAAGGCGCACAGTTGCTCATTGTGAATTGAAAACGGGAGCATCGAAGAGCACTTGTAATTGCTCAAAATCGTAAAGGTCGCTTTTTGTAATATCTCGGGGTGCTGTTTTGCATCGTTAATCGTTGATCCCCAGCCGCTGATAAGACCAATGCTATCCGCTTGTGGATTTTTCGAGGGAAGTCTTACATAATTTTGATATTCATTGGCTTCGATGCAATTGTTGAGCTATAAAAGACAATTGATTCGCCTGAGGACTTTTTGATAGGCGGCGATGCACGTGAGCATCCTAAGGTGTCATTAATGCATGATTTGTTAGGTAATTTTGCACGTGTGTCGCGTGAGATTTCGATTTTGTAAGAAAAGCTCGATTGCCTCGCTATTGACTGGTATTCTAAGCGACAGTTATTCTCCTAATGAAAATCAAAGCACTCGGCACGAGTACTTAATAAAAGCACTTAGAGCCAATCGTCTGGACGAATTTATTCGCAGATTCGTCTATTCACGAGGATAATAATGTCCCAAGTTGTAATCCAAGCGAATCTCGTGATACGATTAACTATTATTATGAAATTATTTGTATAGCACTCTGTGTTTGCGCGTGTTTGCGCGTGTTTGCGCGTGTGTGTTGCGTCGAGTTGCGTTGCGTCGAGTTGCGTTGCGTTCGTTCATCATTGTATTCCATAAATAAAAATTCTACTCTATTATTTGTATGAACAATAATCGGACGGTTGGTTGGCAATGGATTCTTAGTGAATTATGGATGATTGTACATCCATTTCGTCAATTATACGCATTGACTTTATTCGTAAACATAAATAAGAGAAAAATTGTATACATTGTAGAGCGATTGTCTGTTTATTTGCATTGGAGTCTATGATTACGACTTTGTAAATTATTTATTACTTTTAAAGTAATGAAAATACTACGCAAAACCAAGTATTTTACTTATGTCCTTATGTTACATGAATTTTGAAATTCGTCATAGCAATGTTAAGAATAATATTGTCTTCGTGTTTTACTACGAAACTTTGTAAGATCTGCGTCATAAGATTCTGTTTCATTTAATTTAGTTATGTATGATAAAACTTAAAAAACCTATGGGAAGACTGATAAAATGTTCATATTTAGTACTCGAAAGATAATACGAGATGAGTTTTAAGTTAGAATTTATTGTATTTATATAATTATATATGGTTTAGCTAAATTTATATTTATCTCCTGTAAATACATTTAATTTGTTTTTAAAAATAATTGATGCCTAAATATATTCTTGTCAATTTTTATTTTTAAACTATACATATTTTATTGTTGCATTGAATAAAATAACGTTTAATGAAATATTTAAACTATAAAATTTCAAGCAACCTTTTTTAATCTTTTGAGGTTATAACATGAAATTAATATTTTAATTTTTTTTCTAAATTTGATGTTCATTAATTAGGAATATTAATGTTTACTACAATACCGTAACAATAGCAATGTCGTGATGTAATACTGAATATTCTTTCAGTTCTCCAGTAAACATCGGATGAATTTTATAAGATTCTATAGTGAAACTACTACGATTCGTAATTTTGTATTCCTCAGTTCCTGTATAAATCCGAATATTTTTGTAGTTATATTTTGAAAGACAATGAGCTGCCGTAAGGACATGTAATTTAGTAATTATTGATCCCCCGCAAAAATGATTTCCATTCTTGATTAGTTTAAATGATACGCTATGAGGAAACTGTCTTATATCAGCAACTTGTCCGCCGATGATTCTTGCATTCCTTCCAAAAGTAACTATAAATAATTTGTAAAATTTTATTTACAAAATTGAATTCTATTTTCTATCTTCTTCTATTATATTTGGTACTTAGCGTGTACATTTCATTAAATTAGCTTATTTGGTATTCCAAAGGTTGTTTTTTAAAATTAAAATTTAGCAATATTTTTGTCTGGAGTTTCTGCCCTCGTATAATAGTATTTTTTTTTTATTTTTTTTTTTTTTGTATTATTAATAGGAAATATGGTATAATTATTTAGACACCATAATAATTCATTATTTTATTCTTAACTTTGTAGTTTTACATAGTAGTTAATTTATTTAAGAATTCATGAATAATAGTTAATATATTTTGCCAGTTAATTGAATTTGATTAAACTTACCAGTGTATAATGATAGAAACAAACCAACTATTAATGTAAAACTCATTCTGTCGTTTTTTTATGATAAATGAATTTTAATATCAAATTGAATCATTTATATAGATTTGTTCAATTGGTAATATAAACTCAGATAACATATATTAATGTATTATGTTTTTTTTTCATATTAATTCACTCTCCTATTAATACATTACATTAAATCTTTCAAATTCTGATTTGATGTTATACATGATAAGTAACAACAGATAAATAAGTTAATTTTGTTAGTATTTTTAATTAAATCAAAAGTAAGATTTTAAATACATATATCAATTTTTCCACGTTAATACAAATGAAAATATTATCGGTAGATAACTTATTTAATTCATGATTTTGTATTTGATATCTTGTGTGAAGATAAAAAAGAGCTTTAATAATTTATTCATTATATTATATGAAAATGTTGTTAGCATTATTAATAATACTAAGGTTATCGATTTATATTATAATAAATTAACAATTTTCATTTAAGTTTTATTGTACTAATATACACGGTTAGAAGACATTGATTAAAATTAAAATAATAATAAGAAATATATTTAAATTTGTTGTGAAATAAAATATCCTTTTAATTATAAAAATATTTAAACATTGATTGTGATCGATTATAATATAATATTTTTTATAATTATGCATATTATATATATATATATATATATATATATATTATTTATTTAAAAATATGATAAATTTCTCATTCTTAGTTCTTATATTTTTATCAATTTTTTTCATTATTAACTCAGATCACAGATCACTATTAACTCGCATAATTATCAACTGTAAAGTATATTATCGTTGAATATTTATTAATATATTAAACTAATAAGAAATCGAAGATAAACACAAATGAAAGTGACCTGAAGAGAAGCTTGAATTTTTATAAGAGATCTTACTTTATTAAACTATTAACAATTGTTTATCTTTCTGATTCATTTTTATTCTGAAATTACAATGCAGACACCTGCACTAATATTACGTATGTAGCGCTGTAACAAATCAGTATATATTTACAGCAAAATTTAAAAAAATTGAATAATATTTCTAAATTAAATATAGTTTTTTCTATTATTGTGCTAACACATGATAACAAAATTTTATTTATATAAATATTTACACATACATACACTGTATGTACTGTAATTATACCTAGATATTAACGGTGTATAAATATATTCTATTATCTTGTACTTAGTATCAGTTATATTTATATCTTCTGGAACCAAGCGTTTATTAAAGTTCCGAATAAGCAGATAATATTTTTGATATTAATAAATTAAAAAAAAAAAAAAATTGAATGTCTATGTTTATTCATTGTATTATAAAGTTTTATGCATATTGATATTTTGAAAATGTTAAATATTGAAGAAATATTATATCTAAAATTGTATTTATTTTAATGCTTCTTCTATTTATATGATTTATAGTCAAATAAAGTAAATAGATGTGCCATTATCTTATCTAAAATTGTCAAGCCAATTAATAATATTATATTAACATTTATTAGAATAATTACACTATATTCACAAAAAGAGACTATTTATTTTTCAATTTATTTTTTACTTATAATTAAATCAATTCTTATAATGCTTATAAAATGTATATAGGAGAGATTACAGAATTCAATAATAATTCTGTTGATAAAATAAAAAATTATTTTATTAAGTTATTTAAATATAAATTAAATATATAAAAAGTATTTATTAGTACATCATAAAATAGAAAATATTTTATGCCTATATATTAAGATGTGTGTGTGTGTGTGTGTGTGTGTGTGTGTGTGTGTATGCATGTATCCTAAAATAATTATACAAAAAATAAAAAAAAAAAAATTTTTTGGTTATAAATAAAATAATTTGTCAATTATGAATATAATTATTTATAAATATATTTGTATGTCTATCTGCAATTTATATAACATATTAATTTATACATAGAATAGATTGTATTACTTGAATATTCTATCAATTATTTCTTTTTTCATTTTAATGACTGACTTTCGCTTACTTTTCTTCACTACATAATGATTAAAATAGAATCTTCGATTGACTGTTATAAATCTTTTTTCAGAATGGGCAATTATATTTATTTTATGTTATAATAAAATTATCTTTAATGTAACAACCATATTATAAATTATATACTATAAACAGAAAATATTATCAATTATGTATTACAAGTTGAGACTTGTGCAACTTTAAAAAAGCGTAAAGTAGAATTTGTCGGTAATCTTAGTTTCGTATGTTCTCATTGTTAACGAACAGGAGCAACATATTTTCAGAGGTGTGGTTCGGATTTTGCGTCATTAGAACTACAAATTGGGAGGGTATAACATAAAAATATCCAGTGTTAAACAATAATTGCGGATCCTGTTCTGTGAAGAGATAGATAGATAGATAGATAGATAGATAGATGGAGAGAGAGAGAGAGAGAGAGAGAGAGAGAGAGAGAGAGAGAGAGTGTGTGTGTTAGAATGAGTGAAAAACACTGTGTGGTTAGTAGTAATTCTTAGATGGCTTCATTGATGGGACTTACATATTTTCTTCTTCCGTTTCAATCTCATCGAACATTTTACGGTTTCTCTCCTCCTAATTTTACTGATGCATCTCACTTATATATTCTTATGTGGAGTAAGGACCCATGAATGGGATTTTAGTCTTTACTCTCGCCCTCTTTTATCTCCTTCTCTCCTTTCTGTTTAGATTATTAAAAATGTAACATCTGTTTGAAATTAATTTTATTCGGCGCATATTAATTTATTATATACATATTTATACTGTTATCTTTTGATATTATTAGTTTAAATTTATCGATCAGAGATATTTAATATTAGTTTAATTTCTTATTGTATAATTTATGACTAACGATGTGACCATTGTATATGTACTTATGGTGTATATACATTTAAAGGCTTGATCTTATACGCATTGATATACCTTCTTTTATTATATTAAAATACTCAATAAAGTACTTTTTTTTATGCTCCTGTTTGAATGCAAATAATTTACACATACGTTTTTAAAATGCAATTTTCGTATTTTAGAAAGTATTTAATCATGTTCTATAAGACTTTTATCTAATATTGCATAAAATGCATCAATACCTAGCAATATAAATTAGATTTCAATAAAATTATTAAATTCTGAATATCGCGAGTCCTAACATATAAACAGAAAATAAATAAATATCATTAACATATATTACGTAAAAACGAGAGTAGAGTATGCATATCATTGAGGTACAGACGCTTGACACGAATAAAGCCTGGCGTTGGTAATAGTTTTTCAAGATGATTGCTAATACATGACGTAAAGTGATTTAAACTGTCACCGCTAGAGAGTGGAAAGAGATCGTTCAGTTCAGTTACATCAAAAGAACTTGACAAATTTTTGGATCTGCGCAGACTTGACGCCCACTAGTAGTAGTAGTAGTAGTAGTAGTAGTAGTAGACTTGCATGCTTTTAATTGATTTTCAATTTGAGATGACAATAATTCATAGTGTACGCATTGAGGTTGTGTATATTTCGTCTTAAATTATCGATTGATAGTAATAAGAACGTCGGACTGATTGAACACGTGTAAAGTAGATGAAAATATTCAGGCGGACACGAAAGAATAACAATGCATGCCAACAAATATCCTTTGAATTATGTAATTTCCATAATGATTAAATACGACGTAAAGGCCAAATGTAAAATCTTAATTTGCAACGGCTAAGCTTATATAAAGCGCTTGTTAGTTTTATAGTAAAATCTTGCAGTCTGAAATATCAATGACACGCAAACGATTATATATAAAATTCTATGTCTCTTACTTTAAATATCTACTAGAGTTCATGGAAAACAAAAAAAAAAGAAAAACAAAAAAACAAAAAAACAAAAAAAAATCACTATTTCAGTTTACTACAAAAGCACAGCATTTTATGTATTAGAACATTTAAAAGATAAATTTTTATCATCAATTATCGATGTAATAAAATCTAAGTAAGAATAGACTCGAGTATAAATATCAGGTACTCCCGTGGCACATGGAATAACAAACGATGCAACACCAACGATTTCTTCTTTATAGATTAATCCTGATCCGCTATCACCCTACAAAGTATTTTAAAATTAATAACTTAGAATATCATATTCTTCATCGAATAAAATAGTTAAATGTATTAATTGATGCAATGTGAGCATTTCATTTTTTAATAATATATTCATTTAATTATAATTATTATAAACTACATATAAGAGAGTAAATTTAAAATTTGCTAAAATATTGAATCAAGAGTTAAGCAAGATTACTCAAGCAATATTGATGGTAAATTGACTCATAAATATTATTGAATAAATTTTATTTTTAAATATGAATACATCATTTTGTCAATTCGACTTATTGAACAGTCAATTTTTAATAATTAAAATAAAATGTATACTCCCCGACAGGATCAAAATATTTTTATTTTTTGAAATATATATCTATTATATATTTTTATCACTGAGGTAATTAAACAAAAAGTATCGAAATGAATTTCATTGAGAAAAGAAAAATGCGACTTGCGCTTAAATCGATTGAAGCCAATACCAATCATAATTTTATACATAATTATAACCAATTTAAATAGCACTTTTCATACTTATCAAATACGTAGAAAATTTTTATGCACTTTTATAATGTTTAAAATATTTTTTTTTTTTGTATGCATTTTGGTACCGAGGATAAAGTAAGAAACAATAATACAATAATAATAATAGATTATAATTATTTATTATATGTTCCTGTATTATTATTATTAAAAAAAAAAAAAAAAAAAAAAAAAAAAAAAAAAAAAAAAAAAAATGGAATACACTACATTCGTTTCACTTCGTCAATCACAAGTATATATTTTTATATAAGAGTATATTTTTAATAAAAATAAATAAGAGTATTTTTAATTTACCAAGCAAGCTCCTTTTCCGAAACCCGCAAACGCACACAATTGTTCATCATGAATACGAAATTCGAACATCTTCTCACACTGGTCTTTGTTTATAATTCTAAAAATGGCTTTTTGTAATGTACGAGAATATTTCCGCGAATTAACTGTAGTTGTTCCCCATCCATTCAGTAGAACTAGTTCATTAGTTACAATGTTGCTAGTTGGAAGCTTTACTTTATTATGATATTCATTGAATTCGATACATTTATCGAGCTGAAAAAAAAAAACAATAAAATAGAATATTTTATTGAAGATAGAACGGCATAAGTTTCCAATAGATAAATCTATATATTTGCATATTTTTTCTATAGAGATAATTTAGTTGTATAATTTTCTTGAGAAATTTTTTTAGCAAAAACAAAAAGGAACTCTATATTTAATAATTATACTCATCTGAATTTATATTTATTATAATCTATATGCAATATTTAATATAATGTGTTTATAAACAGTATAATATATTGTATAATATAATATAATAAAATTTCTATATGTGATCTTTTTTTATTTTTTGAGACCTATAAATTATATTTACGATATCGTTTAAAAATCAAATATTTTTTATTAGTTACATATTGACAATTATTCGAAAGGCAGCAAATAAATAAAAACTCAAAATAAGCATCAAATCTGCGATTAAAATTAAGCATCTCAATTAACATAGTATGAAGACAATATAAGTAATTTCAATTAATTTTATACAAATGAATTTTGAAAATACGAAACTATTGCTTAATTGATTAAATATTGTATCAAGTTTAATATATAAGATGCTTAATAAACAAATTACATGAAATTGAATGGAAAGACATGCGTAAGCCATAAAACTCACATAGTTTTCGTTGTTATATTGATTATTTTTTGAAATATTTATGATGTTAGAGCTTCACAAAATAATATATCAATATTGTTTCTAATCCAATATTAGGCGAATAATTATTAAGAGCGAAAATTCTAGTTTTTAATTGAAGTAATGTTAGGATTTTTTCAAAAGAAAAAATTTTGAAATGATATTTTGAGAAGAAATTCAAGAAGCTGTATATAATTTGATGATCGAGTTGATCATAAATCTTGATTAACGATCCTCATAAGAGACAATGTGACGCCTTAATAGCGCACATACGTGAGAGTGAAAAACTTCTTCTTTCCTCAATTCGTACAATAAATTGAAGTAATTATATTCAATAAAAGTCTACTAATTCTCTGACTAAATTTACTTTTAAAATTTATTTTACTTCAATAAGTAAATTAAACAGGCTAATTAGCATATTCGAAGTATATTAATATTAAACGATGTTAAAAAATACCTTCAATCGTGCCAGACTTTAACGTTTTATCTTATAATTTTATGTTTGACGAATATCGATTGGCAGTTCTAAAAGAACTTAAATTAAAAAAGAAAGTCCAAGTTAACTGCTTTCTCCCGAAACTGAAGAATTGTTTTGCGTGAAAGCTTTGCCTTAAATGACATAAACTAAATGACACCCCTAATAGTGTATATTAAAACATAATTAAGCAAATTTGTATAATACTAAATAGTTTGAATGAGTTGGATTTCAACTAGTAAATGGTCGTCTGTTTATTCGGATAACCTTATGTAATGCCAATCAGATTCAAAATAATATTTATCGATCGATATTTATCGACCTCGTACCATCGAAGTTAAAAAGTACATTTGCATTTTTCTCTTTTGTATTCTCTCCACCTAATCATTCAAATAGTAACATCGTTTCACAAGAGACAAATAGCCTGTACTTATCCATACATTGGATTGCGAAACAACACAAAGAAGAAATCCAAATAAGATAAATATTGTAGAGGTTGGTTAGCTCGATACGTGTCAATATTATTCAAAATTATTATTTAAATATCAGTATAGATAAACATTTAACAAAAAATTGTTTCACAATACCGTGGCGACCGCAATGTCATGTTGTAACATTGATTCTTTCACAAATTTTTCAGTAAACCTTGAATCACTTTTGTAACTTATAATACTGAAAATATTTTCAGGACTTTCCACATCTTTAACGATTCCTGTATAAATTTGAATATCTTTCAAGTCGTATTTAGTAAGACAATGAGCAGCTGTGAGAATATGTAGTCTGGATATTATTGAGCCACCACAAAAATGATATTTTGTTGTTGCCGCTCTAAGCGACACTGAATATGGGAAGTCCTTTGTATTGGCATCCTTGCCACCGATAATTCTTACGCTCTTTCCAAAAATAGCTGCAAGAATTTTTAATCGTTTTATTGATAAAATTTAATATATAGGGAGTATTCCTTCTTAACAAATATTTTATAAGTAATTATTTTGTTTTACCGAACTGTTTACTGTATAATCCGGATGTAAGTTTATAGAAATACGTAATACAATATTAAAAATATAGTATAAAAGGTTTTAATTTTCTCTACTCGAAATATATTTTCTCAATACTATAGATAAATGAAAACAGCATTAGCATATATGTTTATTGTACTGATATACATTGTTATGATTATGATTATGATTATGATTATGCATTTGAAATTATCGCTAGAATAGTACAAAATTTCACATTACTAATTTCTATTTTTATTACATGTTTTTAATCTTCGCATTAAATCTAGAATTTAGGGAGGCACATATTTTTTTCCATACTATAATTGCTTAAAGTATATATTATTTTTTCTATATTTCTTATTTTGTACTTTCAAATATATATATATATATATATATATATCAATGAAATGAATTTACATATAATTCACTTACGTACAATTGCATATCATTCTATGGTAACTATAATCTACATAGTTTTGTATCTATTAAAATTCTCTATATAACAAAAGATTTATATCATCAATTTTATAAACATAGTTACAACATATTTAAAATATTTGGCATTAAATATTTTCCATCTATTTATTAGTTGAAATGGTATTATAATTATTTAAATATTATAAAGTTTCATTGTAATGTTGTTGTAAAGAAAACGTTGTAAATAAAATAAATTCAAATAAAATGTAAATGAATTTAGTAATACAATTAAATTTTTCTTAATTGAAATTTATTTTTTAATTATTAAAAACACTTATTTAACTAACCAGTATATAATGATACAATGAAAATAATCACTAATTTAAAACTCATCTTGCCGTTTTCTTTTTATTACTGAATATCATTGTCCTATCAAATTCTTTATATAGCTTTATCCTATAATAGTATTTATTCAAATTGTCTGGAACAATAGCTTTATCCGATATAAATATTATGCGTTCTGAAAAGTCAATGTTACTTCATATTTACATTTAAAATCAAATATAACATTTTTCGATTTTTGCAATTTATAACGTCTATATTTTTGTATTAGCCTAAAGATTATATCAGTGGATTCTTAAAAAATTTAACTTGAATCAAGAAACTTTTCTACCGGTAAAATATGTATCTTATTTAATCTAAAAGTAATTATTACTAAAATCTACATAATTAATGATATATTAATTCATATATTTTGAATTCATATGTTTTAGAATAAATGTTTATAATTATAGATTGTAATATGAATAGGAGGCAAAAATTCAAATGCATTAAATAATTATATTTGAAAAGATCAATTTATATCATTTTGATGTTTTGTAAATACTTGTACATTTGTTATTGGAATAGAATGTAAATATTACAATTATTTATTATAATTATATAATAAACGTAAGAAAAAATTGTATTACTTTAAGCATAAAATTAAACCGATATTAAATGTTATTAATCAAAAAATTGTGAAGGTTATAATGGGAAGTTGAATCCTCCATGCCAAAGCTTAACTTAATGGAACAAATTATTTAAATAAATAAATACAAAATATATATATATATATATGTGTGTGTGTGTGTATAAGCTATTTTTTATGCGCTTCACATGACGTGCAAATTCACATTTTAGTTTGCTGATATATCAGCATAGATAAATAAATAGTATTATAGATTTGGTAATATCAAATGTTTAGCACATACTGTATAAAATTTATAAAACAATAAATGTACCCTAACATTATACGAATAAACTAATGGATAAATATTACACAAAAAATATTATAACACTTTATAATAAACAATGTCCAACATATTTAGAAGAATAACTCATTTTTATTCATTGAATAAAATGAGAATTATTATAAGATTAAGAATGATTTCTTATATATATTTTTTTATATTTATTGTATTTACGTTAACTATTATATCTTTACACAAATGTTTTCTAATACGTAAAAAATAATTTTTATATATTTTAAGTTAATGTTTTTCATTTTATTATTTCTTATTATTCTTAAATTTCATTTCACTCTCATATTTAAAAGTATTGTTCATATAATCGATTTGTATATTACACGTAGAGCTGCAATTTATCTTATTGTGATAGATGTATTAGATGATTTTATACAAAAAAGCTTCAATATTAAAGTAAATAAAATATTTCATTAGTAGCATAAAAAATATATGGCATTTAGTATTGTAATAATACTATAATAATAGGAATAAAATTAAAAATATGTATGTGCCGCGTAAAATATATTTAATATATAGTTTATGGAAGATATATGAGAAGAAGATAAAGATATATGGAGACAATGAAAATTAATTGGAAAATATTTTTTAAAAAAGATAGTAAAAGGCTATAAATGATGTATAATGCAAAATTTATTAATGAAAGTAATAAATAACAATCAGGTAGTTGATACAAACATGTTTCTCCTAAATAATGAAGACTATCTCAAGAAATGATAAATATAGTCGTATTATGAATAAATTCGAAACAAATGTAGAAAGTATATAATATTATAGTATTTGTTGAAAAAAAAAAAAAAAAAATGTAATTAGAGTAAATTATAAAATAAATACGAAATTATATAATAAGAGCAAAATATATAGAATCCATGAAAAAATTAAGAATACTGAGAATATACCAAAGAGTATTAATTTTTAAAACAAATAATAGAATGATAAAGAGTAGTATCGCTGAAGTACATAAATTATTATAGTAGATAAAATAATGAAATATAATCTCATAGAGTTTTGAAAACTGTCATTATATACGTAAATATTTGAGTAAGTTAAAAACGTGTTACGAAAATGAAAAATTGTACACAATAGTATCATATGAGCATTCGATTTCTTAAGACATGGCTAATCAATTCCTTCAAATGACTTTTGTGTATTTTTATAATATCCATATAAAAATAATTTATAAATAAAATATATACATAAATTAAATAATGAATATGCAAATGCAAATTAGTCGTATAAGTACGATTATTTTATATATAAAATTAATAATTGTCAAAATACCGTGACAGTACAGCAACAATCATTTTGAAAGATCGATTGTTTTGTGAATTTTCCCCTGAATTCTGGATGTACTTTGACATTCAGGATCCTGTAAATCCTTTTCATATGAACGTTCGACGTGTCACTTCCAATAATTACTTTGATGACTTAAAGCGATGATATTTGTTGGCGCAATGAGCTGCCGTAAGAATGTGCCAATTACTAATTATCACACTCGAGTTTCACTCAATTGATCCTATCCATACTAAATACGGAAATTCTCCAAGATCCGCATTTAAAAGTCCGACTATTCTTCTTACTTTTTCACAAAAAGCGCCTGAAAATATTATAATATTGAGTAATAGTAGTAACGTGATCCACTGTATTAAAAGAAATATAAAGAAAATAGAGGATTAAATTAACAAAAGCTTTTTATTTAACAGTTGAATATCTCATTCCTTTACATATTGTTGTCAGTGTTATTAACAAATTAATGTTTTGTTACTTCGATACATGAAAGTGATTAAGAAGGAATTAGAAATGTATATAAAAATATGTTATTATTGACATCTGAATGTAAGATAAAAAAAAATTACTTCTTAGTACGAATTAATAAGAAAATTTGAATGTCAATTTGGTTTTGTTAAAATTATATAAATATTTGCTGAAATGATTAATTACTGAACTAATTTTCACCAATATCTTCTTTTTTATTGCCATAACACTATATTATGTATTTTGAAAAATTATAGTTCAATGACAGTGCCTATAATTTTCTAAGTATCTTAATTATTATTACAACAAATATATAATTTAAATTTGCATTATGTATGAAAAATTATATAAATAAGCAAGGAAATTTAAATGTAAAATCTTATCTCGGTGCTTAAATTGACATAAAGCCATTTATTAATTTTCAATGAAAACTTTTGAGCCGGTGGGTTGGGACAAATAATAGGCCAATAATTTGTAGAAATTGAATTTTTAATATATTAGGTGGAAAAATATTTAAAATACATAATAGTGGTTTTAATATCAAATAGTTTTATTTATGCAAAATATAAAATCGTGGTTAAATAATATTTTTAATTCAGTCAGTTAGAATGTACGCGATTTGTAATGAAATTTAAATAAGGTTGGACTCGAGTATACACGTCGGGTTTCCCTTCCGCACATGGTTGAACAAAAGAAGCAACAGCTACAAGTTCTCCGTTAAAGATTAATCCTGATCCACTGTCTCCCTGAAAAAAATTTGCAAAACGCTGTTAATTAGAAATAATAATTGAATGTGTGTAAGGATATTAAAGATGTGGGTCTTAAATTTGGTAAAAGTTGATTGTTAGGAAGTAGATGCCAAACATATAGGGTATTATTATTAATACACAATTTGGTTACATATGACAATACATATTGAGCATTGAACTTCAAATTCTATATTACCAAAGTCGTATTTTCATGTATGACGATTGTATGACGTTACTTTTTCAAAAAATATCGTATCTATTTTATCAAAAGTCCATGTTAAAATTAGTCGTTAAACTATCTGTTTACAAAAGAAAAAAAGCAAAAAAAAGCAAAAAAAAAAAAAAAAAAACAACCATGTGTCCAAAATATTAATAAAAACACAAAAAAAAAAACAAAAAAAACCAAAAAAAAAAAATAACGTAATGACTAATTGTATTAAATTTTATAGGGAATGCTAATTATCAATAAAGTCGCCACGATTGATAATAATGTGACGAGAGCTCATGTATATTCCATGCATTGTAAGGAGACTATTATGGAGATAATGCGAATGTAGGAGTGATTTATGTGTGCGTGCGTGTACTTGCGCGTATATGCGCTGCGCAGTTAAGTGGGTTGTTACAAGTCGCGCCTGCTGCCGATTCGAAAAATCGACGTACGAGTATCGTTTGACCTTGACCTTCCTTTGCCAAGTAGAACGTTAGACGTCCTTGATTGATTCCTCCCACTCCCGGCAACATTCCTAGGCGAATGAATACATGTACCAACGAGCAAGCTGCTCACGAGCCTATTACGTAGCTATCGATGGTTTACTTGGAAAGATTTTATCTTATTATTAGAGTTGGTCATTGTCTTAAACTTGTAATTATAATATAATTAATGTCAATTGCAATTATGAATTAATTATCCATGATTAATGCGCTTTCATTTGATCGAGTTCTTCTGGATTCGATATCGAGCCATCGACGCTGGGGGATGAACCAGAGCTGCGACGACCGATAAACTCGCTAAAGCCGAATATTTACTTCCCTTTTCTTTGTCTTTTTTTCTTTCTTTCTTTCTTTCTTTCTTTCTTTGTCTTTTTTAATCACAAAGCGATCACTTTTATTTACTGCAAAAACTTACGTAACATGCGCCGGCTGCATCATCCGAAAATATGCACAGGTGCTGGCTGCGAACAACGAATTGGACCCTTAATGAACACTCGTAATTACTGAGAACTCTGAAAGAAGCTTTTTGTAATCGTTTAGGATGAGTCCTTGTGGCTGTGGCAACTGCTCCCCAAGCAGTTAGAGTGACTAAACCATTTACGGGTGGATTGCCGTACGCAAGCTTTATTTTATTTTGATATCGGGTGAATTCGATTGGCACTGCAAGCTGTACAAGAATTTTAATTTACTTTAAGGAATTTTACAGAGCATTAATATACGATATTCTAATGTCATTTATAATTATTAAATGCTAAATGATGCATGATGCCGTGACTATTGGGCGTATACATTTTCTTCTTGCAAGAAAAATAAAGTTACACCATCATTAAAACGATAACAAAAAAAAAAAAAAGAAAAAAAAAAAAAAAAAAGACCCCCCCCCCCCCAACTCTTGGCATTTAAACACGACAAGCTCATTTGACATTTTAATATAATAAAGTGAATTACAATTACATTATTGTTAGTGTTTCAAAGTTCATATTTTATATAATTATTATCTTTAAATATAAAAAATTATAGTAATTTATTATTATTGAGTTTGAACGAAAAATATCACTTATGAATACTTATGAACTTATGGTAATCCACTAAGTTATTCATAATTTCAAAGTTTACGCTTACGAATTCATAAAATCCTCTAATTCTAATAACGTAATTTTATTTTACGTTTAATGAAATATAAATGGAAATGCTCGTGCACTTGTTGCCTAAAAGCATATATTTGTTTAATTTAAGTTTTTTAGTCAAACTACCATTCCCAGTCGAACTTGAAAAATCAAATAAGAAATTGTACGCTATTATTATTTTAATTTTAATTTAATTTACCGTATTTTAATGTATCATATATAAGAAAGATATATTTCGATTTACAAATACAAATTGTATATTCTATAGGAGAATATAATTCAAGTATAATTGTAATAAGACAATTATAATTATAATGGCAATCGTATAATTAATAACTACTCTTTTGAATTTGATTTATGATGCAGCCATAAATAAATCAAAGAGCGAAATTGATGATTGAAAAAAAAAAAAAAAAAAAAAAAATTGGTAATCTTAATATATATAAATAATAATAATCGCATTGGTTGTTGTAATACCGTAACAATGGCAATGTCATAAAGTAACATCGATTCTCTGGTTTCTTCTTCAGTGAATTGCGGATGAACTAAGCAATTCTCGATCGCGTAATGACTTTGGACTCTAACGTCGAAATTACTTTTTCCAACATAAACTATAAATGCAGTGGGATCGTAATCGAAAAAACAATGAGCAGCTGTAAGGATATGCTTATTACTAATTATTGAACCACCGCAGTGGTAATTTTTTGTATCAGCTTCTCTAATTGACGCCGAGTGTGGGAAATCCTTCACTTGAGCATCTTTGCCGCCGACGATTTTGTGATGCTTCCCAAAAGTACCTAACAACATAAAAATTTTTTTTTATGATTATATTTATAAAATTTAATTTATAATTATTGATTTTTTTTTTCTTAATTATTGAAAACCGTTGCCTAAACTGCCATGTATCGACTATTTACATATTTTACTGTATTAGAACGGTAGGCTTATTTTCCTATTTTTAATTTTATTTATATAACTTGTAACTAGGAAGAGAGAGAATTCCTAATATAACACAAATAAATAAATAATTGTATAAAATAATTTTAGTAAAAAGTCTATAAAAGTTCATTCATTAAGAATAAAATTTTAACAATTAAATTAAATGAATTTGTTAGAGAAATATATTCATAAATAATATGTATTGGAGATTAACAAAAAGAAATATTATTATTATTTCATAGTAACGCATTTGCAGATTTAATGTAATTTTTTATCAATAAATTAGATTCCTACCTTAACGATAGCTTTTTTTTACAGCATATTTACAATATTTTAGAGTTTCAGTTTCATTGTATTTTACAAAGATCCTTATTGTATAATATTTTTAACATATTTCAGCCGTTTCACCAAATACCATTATTTAAAAAAGTTTTAGAATCATTTTATTTATATGTTAATTAGAGAAATTGTTTTCTCGTAACCTTATGATTGGGCATCTTGTAGTACTATAATAATAGGCAGTTAATTTCAGATTTCATTTAACGAATTAATTAATACATGATTCTTAATAATTAATGAGCTCGTAAAACGGGAGTAAAGACATATAATGGGCACGGATAAGCATCCTCTCAAGTGGCATTGATAACAACGATCGATCACTCAAAACTTCCTAAAGGGAATAGGCAAACTCACTCAATACTTTATGTTATTGAATTCTTTATCCCAACACGTGAATTTACGTAATCATGCTGAATATCAATCTCTTAATAATTATCATAATTAATCTTATGAGAACTTAAGGTTGAAAAGTTTTTACACGTGCAACTTTATCTAGCCAATTTGAAGGATAAGTGTCGAACGAATGGGAGCAACATCCGCATAGGTATCAGGATATTTCAAACTCGATATCATCGAATTCATCATCATCCTTCATATACCATAAATTCGTCCATTAATATTTTATTGATAAACATTAATTTTTACAATCTATAATTTATTACAACATAATTTTTTATATTAATTAATTGTTGTACAATGTTGTAAATTTTAACCATAAAATATCAATATTTAAATATTTATATTTACCTACTAAGATTTATAAAAGACAAAATTCTATCACAGATATTACTTAAATATGCACAAACTAACTAATATTAAAATTAAGTATATTGTTTTAAATATTCATTTTTTAGTGTTTTTTTAGTGTTTTTTTTTTTTTTTTTTTTTTTAGTATCTAATATATTTTAGTATACATTTTAGTATATTCAATTAGCCTGTTAAGTTTACTGGAATGCTTCAGCATCAAACGCAAAAATAAAAATATACATTGCTTGACTAAAAGAAAAGAATTGCGATGGAAAATACAAATGAATTTAGTCATTTATTGTAAAAAAAATTAAAATTAAAGGTATTATAGATGATAAAGATTGAATCAACTAACCAGTACATACTGATATAAACAAAAAAATCACTAACTTAAAACTCATCTTGCAATTAAATTTTAAATACTAAATATCAATGTTTTATTAAATTCTTTATATAGGCTTATTAATATTCAATTTATCGTATATACGCAGATTAAATGAAATTAAAAACCTCGTTCCAATTGTGTAGTAGATATTCGAAAATATTAGAGTCAATATTTACATTAGAAAAAAAGATCTTACAAAGTTTCGTAGTAAAACACGAAGACAATATTATTCTTAACATTGCTATGAAGAATTTCAAAATTCATGTAACATAAGGACATAAGTAAAATACTTGGTTTTGCGTAGTATTTTCATTACTTTAAAAGTAATAAATAATTTACAAAGTCGTAATCATAGACTCCAATGCAAATAAACAGACAATCGCTCTACAATGTATACAATTTTTCTCTTATTTATGTTTACGAATAAAGTCAATGCGTATAATTGACGAAATGGATGTACAATCATCCATAATTCACTAAGAATCCATTGCCAACCAACCGTCCGATTATTGTTCATACAAATAATAGAGTAGAATTTTTATTTATGGAATACAATGATGAACGAACGCAACGCAACTCGACGCAACGCAACTCGACGCAACACACACGCGCAAACACGCGCAAACACGCGCAAACACAGAGTGCTATACAAATAATTTCATAATAATAGTTAATCGTATCACGAGATTCGCTTGGATTACAACTTGGGACATTATTATCCTCGTGAATAGACGAATCTGCGAATAAATTCGTCCAGACGATTGGCTCTAAGTGCTTTTATTAAGTACTCGTGCCGAGTGCTTTGATTTTCATTAGGAGAATAACTGTCGCTTAGAATACCAGTCAATAGCGAGGCAATCGAGCTTTTCTTACAAAATCGAAATCTCACGCGACACACGTGCAAAATTACCTAACAAATCATGCATTAATGACACCTTAGGATGCTCACGTGCATCGCCGCCTATCAAAAAGTCCTCAGGCGAATCAATTGTCTTTTATAGCTCAACAATTGCATCGAAGCCAATGAATATCAAAATTATGTAAGACTTCCCTCGAAAAATCCACAAGCGGATAGCATTGGTCTTATCAGCGGCTGGGGATCAACGATTAACGATGCAAAACAGCACCCCGAGATATTACAAAAAGCGACCTTTACGATTTTGAGCAATTACAAGTGCTCTTCGATGCTCCCGTTTTCAATTCACAATGAGCAACTGTGCGCCTTTGCGGGGGAGGGAATTGGCGCGTGCATCGTAAGATAATTGGAGTTAATTTTTGTATAAAATGCAAGTATTTTTCATGAGATTAATTTTATACTTTTTCGTTATATAGTTATAAACTATATAAATTGTAATACAGGTTTTTAACTAATTTGAAGACATAAATACTGAAATAGTGTTATTGAAATAAATGAGTAATTCCTGGTAATTTCATATATATCCGAATTATTTCTTGATTTACGGACATTTAAGTATAAGATTTTTATTTAATCTGAAAACAGAAAAGTACGTTATGTATGTATATTATTAGTTTAAAATAAAGCATTGGTTTCTTAATTTAATTAAATACATAAATATGTTTGCATTGTCTTTTCTTTATCTCTCTCTCTCTCTCTCTCTCTCTCTCTCTCTCTCTCTCTCTCTGCTTGAAATAAATTATCACGTAAACTTATAGAAAAATTTAATTTTACGCGAATAGAGTATTTGAATAACGATTATCTCGTATAAGTACAGGATTCAATAGAATTTATAATTATTGAGCCGTTTTGATGCTTATGATAACATGGAAAAAGAATTCAGATGATATAAGTGTTGTATAAGTAAATAATTATCCATACTTTCAATGGGATGTTAAAATGTTGTAATAGTTAAGCTAAAAGGTATTCTGAGAAATGACATCGACAAAAGAATCGCTGGTTTTTTCAAAGATATTCTTAAAATGTTCAAGAATATCCTACTATTTGATTTTCATATGGCTTATATCGCACATATTTTCGAAATAATATTAATAGGTAGTGTCGGGAAAATTTCTATTACGAAAAAAAAAGTAATTATTAATTTTATTAATTATATTGTAAGCTTGTAGTTTTTTTTTTTTTTTTTTTTTTTTTTTAATGATATTTAACTACTATTGTTAAATATAATTTTAAATTAAAAATATTGTTTGTATACTTTATTGTATCATTGATGTACAATTACGTTTGCTTAATATTTACAAATATTTATGTATATAATGTATTGTTTATAATAAATGTCCATTCAATATTTTTATATTATTCTTTTAAATATATAAATTATATTTTTCCTAATAAAATGCATGGTAATTTTCTTAGGATATAAAATATGAATTTTATTGATAGTAAAGTATTGGAAATTTCGTGTGAAAAATAAAATACGGAATTTTTTGTTTTAATTTGACATTGAAGTTCCTTTTTGTTTGAGTTAAGTAATAAGAATTAGGTCAAGAATTTTTCAATGTACGCACAAAAGATTATTAATTTCATAACTTGATATCGTGTGAAATAAATTATTTAAAAACATTCCCAAGAATTTTGAAATGTATTTCTTAAGTTTAGATAAAATAATACCCAGCACTTATATAATTATTTACGTCTAATTCTCTTATTATCTTATTATCCTAAACTCTCGAATTATATTATTAATTCAATATTAAATATAATCAATTTAATGTAATCCAAATTATTTGTTTAAATTCTACAAGCATTAAGTATTTAAGTTGTTGGAGCAAAAACAACATACAGCTCGAGAGCTATATAAGTTCAAGTAGCAGCTCCTGCAACATTTAGTCGCTAATTTATAGCTCTTCGATATATAGTTACAAAATTTTAATAATTTAAATAATTTGCAATATGCTAATAAGTAAGTAAAATTTATCTAGAAAGCAATATTTATTTATAAAAACTTATGTAAAAAATGTATTTTAATTTACTTTTACTTAAGTTTTTACGAAATGGAGCATTCTGGTAATCCTGTGTGTGATATTACAGATTCAATAAAATCTAAGTAAGAATAGACTCTGGTGTATACATCGGGTATTCCTGTGGTGCAAGGACGATTGAGAGAGCCAATACCAATTATTTCTTCGTTGTAAATCAATGATTCACCACTATCACCCTATAAAATACGATGATCCCATTAATTAAAAGCATATGTTACTGACAGTATAAATAGTAATATCAATAATAAGAAATAAATTTCTCAACATTAATATTATAATTATATATATATATATATATGTATATGTATATGTATGTAGAAAAAAAATATAAGATTAATTAAATGAACATTTGTGTTTATCATTGATTTTGATTGAAAACGTGGTGTGTCACTTTATGATATAAAAAATATATTTAATATATTAAACAAATTATTAGCTTAGTAATTTTATTGTTATCGGATAAATTATAATTATTTATGGTTTTCATACTAAAGTATGTTAACAGAGTTCTAAAAATTATTTACAAATCATTGTTAATATCTATTCATCAAATAATTATTCTCTGGCCTATGATTTATAACGTTTTTAAACATTTTTATGCAAATCCATTTACTCTATATTGTTGACTATATATATATATATATATATTAGTTTCATTGAAATCAAAGTATTGTTTTATTCATCATTATTTATTAGTAAGTATCATATATATTTATAAGTTTTTAAACATTTTGAGGAGAATCTGGAAACTTACATTGCAAGCGCCAATTCCCTGCCTCTCAAATGTACATATTTGCTCATCATGAATGATAAAATGGAGAAATTTATTACATTCAGATTTGGTTGAGAATTTCAATTGCAGTTCTCTGTAATGTTTTGGGATATGAGGGATATATTTATAGCAGAAATTCTTCCCCGTCCAATAATTATACCATTAGCACCAGACACATCATTTTTAGTTGGGAGTTTTCCCGTACGTTGAAATTCATTATATCGAATACATCGATCAAGCTATAGAAAAAAGTATTATTATAAGAGACTTTAATTTTCCATAATTTCATCGTAAATAATTATAAATATTTTTAATTAATTATGTTTTTTCTGACATTTTATATTATTGATTTCATTTCAGATAAGTTAATTTATAACTATTGTTATGACAAGAAGAACAAGATCATAAGATGGACAACATTTATAAAAAATAAAAAAAAAAAAAAAAAAAAAAAAAAAAAAAAAAAAAGAAAGAAAGAAAGAAAGAAAGAAATAAAGAAAAATAATTATTAAATGTAGATAATGCTTAATTTTGGATAAAAACATGAATCAATTAGCATAAATAAATTAAGTTTGAAAAGATTTCGTCTAATAATAATTTCATTATTTATGCATTACATATAATTGGAAATTATCCCTTTATATTGTTATATTAATTATACTAATTGTAACAAATGACTTTTGTAAATAAAGAAGAAACGTAACTTTTATGTAGCACTTAAAACAACGGAATTTAAGCGATTAATTATGATAAAAAATATTTAAATTTGCTACACATTAATTTATGTATTTTCCAAAAGATTTATACTTAAACAAAGCAGTATTGTTTTCAAATGTGTCACGTATCATTTTGGTAATAATCTAAAAATATGTGGTCAACTTGTTCGCTCCAAATATCTAAAATCTTTAAACTTATGTATTTTTAATGTGTGCATAAAATTAATAATTGTCAAAATACCGTGACAGTACAGCAACAATCATTTTGAAAGATCGATTGTTTTGTGAATTTTCCCCTGAATTCTGGATGTACTTTGACATTCAGGATCCTGTAAATCCTTTTCATATGAACGTTCGACGTGTCACTTCCAATAATTACTTTGATGACTTAAAGCGATGATATTTGTTGGCGCAATGAGCTGCCGTAAGAATGTGCCAATTACTAATTATCACACTCGAGTTTCACTCAATTGATCCTATCCATACTAAATACGGAAATTCTCCAAGATCCGCATTTAAAAGTCCGACTATTCTTCTTACTTTTTCACAAAAAGCGCCTGAAAATATTACAATTATTATTGACATATCTATATTAAACATAAGTTTGGCACTAAAGTGATCCGCTGCGTTAAAAGGAATGTACGGGAAAGGATACTTTAGGTAATAAGCGACATACATTTGTATATATTTATTAATTTAGTTGATCATTTTTTCAAAGCAATTTTCTCTTATTTTTTTCTTTACATATTATTTATATTTAATTTTTTTTTTCTTTTTAATAATAGATAAAAGATCTTAAGGAAAACCTCCTTAAGAGGCTTAAGTTAAAATTAACTAGATAAGTATCGTTTAATTATAAAAGTACATTTTATTATACGTCAAATAGTTTTCATCTCCAACTGTTATTATTATTAATTAATATTTTAAATTTTTATTAATGGAGTTTAATTATGGATTAATAATATTATCGTTAAATTTCATGCAAAATCAAGACGTAGTTCTTAAGAGTTTATATAATATTCTTTTTATTAAAGATAGTTTATTTAAGCCTCGGAAAAATAAATAAACTAAATTAAGATATTAAATTTATTTATTTATTTATTTATAATAAATATTTTAATATTTTAATATTATTTTAATATAAAAATAAGCATTTCGCTCACCAAAGCTATATATTATGTATCCATAAATTAGTAACTGAAAATACATTATTTTGGTATTTGATTGATTCTCGTAACAAAATGTTTTTTTGTGAAACACTTTCGTAGGTCATATTTGTGTACTCTTTTTAAAAAGGGAATATATTAATTTATATTATCATATTGATGTATTATACGATAAATTGTCTTTTGCAAATAAATGACGTGCGTTGTTCGGTAAAAAGATGAGTTAATATTTACATTAAAAATCAAATAGACGAGTGAGTTTCTGAAACTTAATCATTTCTGTAAAATAGTAAGTAATTTTTAATAAAATATATCATCGTTCAGTCTGTTTCATATAAAATTATATTTAAATCAACGCATATTTATATTTTGCAAATCTAGAAGACAATTGTATACTTTAATAATAATAAAGCATGTTTATTATGTTCGTAAGTGTTGATTATATTAAAAAAAAAAAAAAAAAAAAATAATAATAATAATAAAAAAATAGCTTGTCGATGTAAACTTGATAAAATATCGATAAAACAAATTGATTCTTTCTACTCACACTTTTTCGAATAGATGTGATACAATGTTCTATTATATTTCTTCATACTCAATTATTCAAATTCACAATAAAGCTTGAATTAACGGCTGCATTTTTAATATATTTTATATATGCCTATTATAATAATATATAATTTTTCCTTTTTTTCTACATCATTATTAAATCCAAACATATATCTTTGAAGAGAAATATACAGATAATTAGTCGTTCATTTTAATATTTTGTATATTTAAAATCAATCAACTAAAAGATCATTTACGCAATAAATATTCGTCTGATGATTAATTCTGAAATTAATTTCTACTTTAGATCTGAGATAAAATTCAATAATCCATATCCATTGTGCACCAAACTTTATAGAAAAATAAGCGTTTCGGCGTATAAGTTGAACAAAATTTTAAATAGCTTATCATTTTTACAATTTCTTTAATAACAAACAAAATATTGTATAAAAAGTTTTTATTATTATTTTAAAACTGTTTCAAGATTACATGTCATGCGACTTGGTACAATAATATAAAAATAGTAGTCTATTTTATTTGCATACACTGATTATTTTTTTATCTGCTTACTCTTCATATTTATTTTGAAGTGAGGATTCACATTAACTATTATAATATAAATTTTAATTATTTGGATAACATATTAATTTAATTTAAGCTAAATGTATTTAAAAACCTATAGCAAATCATATTTTTATATGAATTATAAACGTATTGATAGTCAAAATTCATAAAGTAATTTATAATTAAGAACATAATTTATAATTGGCATCTGTTTATCAACCATTAAGTACAAACGACTGAATTCATATCATACATTTCTCGTGTAATAAAATTTAAATATTTATAAACGTTGGTAAATACATCGGGCACTCCTGTGGCACAAGGGCGTAAGAGAGAAGTAATACCAACAACTTCTTGATTAACAACCAATGGTGAACCGCTATCACCCTGTGAGATTAACAAAAAAAATTTCTAATCAGATTTGTTTTATTACGAAACCTATGAAACGTCATGTAGCAATTATTAAAGTAGTTATTCGATGTATTACAATTTTTAATGAAATATTTCAATAGTTACGAATTATGGATATCGAATATGACATTTATATCAAATTAATTCTGTATATTATTAATAAAGTTGATAATTTTTAAACGAGATGCAAATATTACAGGCAAATTATAATATTACTAATGTGGATTGTTAAATTACATCATTTTAACGCAGGATATGTTTATCTTAACAACTTCAATAATTTATGGATACAACGAGTTTGTATAAGATAGAATACAAAGTTAAAACGGAATCTCGGAACATATCATTGATGATTGAATGTAAATTAAATTGCAGATATTAGCATTTTAATAAAAAATTTGCTTAATATTAGAAGAGTTTAGAGAATTGAATTTTCGCTGTCGCCATTCTAAGTAATATTCCGATAGGAAGATTTTAATTATATATTTGCGATGTTGGAGATCATAACGAAGAGAATGTTGTTTAAAATGTAAAGAGTATTTATTCATGGGGGAAGGAAAATGGTGGAAAGATGAAACATAGAAGAAGAAGAATTATTTGACTGACTGAGAACAAAATGATATTACGTTTACTAAGATGTTAAACAATATAATCGATAAGAATTGCTCCCGTAAGCGTATAAAAAGCCTAACACTAATAAATACAATATTAAATAAGCGAATGAATTATGTATTATAACTCGATGAAAAAAATATATTTTTATAGGTTCGCTGGCGATGCCAGAAAGGAATCAAAAGGAACAGAATAGGTAGAAAATGGAAGAAAGTGAAAAGGCAAATATGAATAGAAGGGATAAATGGAAAACCTTATAGCTCTCGAAATTCAATTTAAAAACCGTCTATTTGGATTTATAATTATATTGAAATACTTTTTTAATATCTTTTAATTACAATGCAAGAACTATCAAAATTGAATTTTAATCGACCGATAATATAATAAGAATTATATTTATTATCATGTAATTTGAAAGTCGAGTATTATAATATTTCATTAAAATTGAAATATTTTATAATAAAATTGCAATACATTCAAAATCTATTCATAGTATAAATTAAAACTGATATAAAAAATTATATCAATGATTGATATTTCATTGAATATTTAAACATATTTGTGTAGTGAGGTAACTATTAAAAAAGTCACATAATTTCAAATCATTATTATATTAATAATTTTAATTAATATAGAGATTTATATGGATAAACTGTTTATAGCACATAATTATAATTCTTATTGAATACTAATGAGAATGTAATGAAAAAACTCACGATGCATGCACCAACTCCAACTCTATTAAATGCACATAATTGTTCGTCATGAAGAAGGAATGGAAGAACTTGATTACACTCGGGTACGCTATAAAGTTTCATTGTAGCTTTCTGAAGTATTTCAGAATGATCGCCCTCGTGGGTATCAGTTCTTCCCCAGCCAGTTAGTATACCAATACTATAGTTTATAAAATTTGAACTTGGAAGATCAATTTTATTTCTAAATTGATTGAATCGAATACATCGCTGAAGCTACAAAAGAAAATTCTCATATTAAAATATAATCCTGTGCGTCTACATTAATGACATTAATGAGAAACAACACACCCAATAAGTTACATTCGTTTAATAATTTAGTTACCCTTTTAGATTAATTATCGACGTCATCGTCAACTATTTTCATCTATCATTTTACTATACTACATAGTATTATTATTGAGCATATTAACAGGATTAAAATTTATATAAAATAACTGTACTACACTATATTTATATTTAAAATTAAGTAAAGTCATATTTTGTTCTCCGTTTCATTAAAATTTTTTCCTATATTAAACCCCCGTTAAAGTATAAAGTATAATAAATAATATAAAAAAAAAAATTGAGCGGACTATTTTCATTCATATTTGAGGCCCGAAAATATCGTAAATTAAACGGATAAATTTAAATCTAAATAAAAAATCTGTAATAAAGATTACAATTTCACTTGTTAAATTAATAAAACGTACATAAAAATATGCGATACAATACCATAGTTGAGAAATAATACCAAAAAAAAACAAGCAAACGTGTTTTTTTTTTTTTTTTTTTTCAATCTAATTGGATTAAAATAAAAATTGTATTTTCCCTTTTTTTAATTTCATTTCCTACATTACATTCATTAATTAAATTATATTGTGAATATACCGTAAGAACAGCAATGTCGTGAAGATATGTGAAATCAGCTCCTCGTTGTCCCGTAAACTGGGGATGAGCAGCTATTTTTCTTACCCGGTAACCCGATTCCGCTGTTATTGCTAATCTAGTGCTTCCCACGTAAACCTTAATTTCGAAATATTGATATTGTTCGATGCAGTGCGCAGCCGTAAGAATATGCCAATTACTTATGATACTACCACCGCAAAAAAAGTATTCGTTACTAATTTTTGCCAAAGCTGCAGAATACGGATAATCTTGTATCGTTACATCTTCGCCACCGTAGATTCTCAGCTTCTTTCCCTGGATGTCTAAATATATATTTAAGACATTAATCACATTTAGAATTATTGGATTAAATAAGTATATATTGTTTTTAACGTAGTTATGAATGAAAAAAAAAAAGATGAGTTTTTATTAAAAATCGGACTTTTAAATAAAAGGTTTTATGTTAAAATTAACTTGACGATTATTCATATATTTTTAGTTGGTATTAAAGCTGGATATTAAAGGGTATTTTACAATAAAGATTTAAATAGATAGTTTTAAGCAACGATTTATCTATAAAAATCATGTATTTCCCCAGTTATTGTATACTTCATGCAAAGGCATAGATTTAGCAAGAAGATAATTATTAAACATAAGGATCGTGGAAATATTAATTTATACGATTAAACTTTATATCTACGTAATACAAATGCATTGATAATGAAATAATTAACTCACCTGAACTGTATAATGCGAGACACAACAATATTGTTAATCGATAAGACATTTTTCTGCTTGTCGATAATAATTGCAACTGTTTGAGAGATTTACATAGTTCATAATATTAGAATTATATATTTCCTGAATCCTCGATTACACTTTTATTTATAATATTACAAAATTATAGGCATTAAATTATTCAATTTTTTATCACCAATTATGTGTTTATGGTATGGTGATGTGCATTTTGTTAGACATAAATGGGTTAATTATTCAAATTGAACTAATATTTATTGTTTAAATCAAATACATCAACATAATGTTTGTTTTGTATTATCTCGTACCTTGTTGTCATCGTGATTAATATTTAATATGATATTTTATAATATCAAGCGCGATAAATAATAAATTTTTATCTCATTTATTTTTACATCCTCGTAAGCGAAGAATTAGTTGAAATTCCATAAATGCGTAAATTACTTGTAATGATCAAGCTAATTTGACATTAATTTGACCAATATACATTTACTTTTATTTTATTTAAATTTCATATCTGTATGTAGTGTTTTTTTTTTTTTTTTTTTTTTTTTTCTTTTTGTAAATATGTTTATTAAAGCAAAAGATAAACCCAACATTTGCAGATGTGCGCAACTAAACTAACTAATGAAAATTATTTATGTCAAGGCAAAATACACACTTTATTTAGAAAATCGAAAGCTTCCCTCTAAAAGTAGACAAATTAAAAGATAAGAATTATTAAGTAGTTTCACGTATTTAATCGAAGCTTTTATTCTCAACGTGTGTTTAGCATTAAACAGATATAAAGAGCGTAAGTATTACTCCTACCGAGACTAGGTGCAATTGGGTACCAGCTGTTTTTTAGTTTAAACAATAACCGACTCTGCATAGCCATTGAATATTAAGTATAAGATTAACACAAGCAAAATGTAACAATTAATAGAAAACGCACTACATTCGCTACTTACGGAGAATTAGAAATTTGCCTATCTCTCGCTCCCCTTCTCTCTCTCTCTCTCTCTCTCTCTCTCTCTCTCTCTCCCTCTCCCTCATGCACTGTCTCTCACTAATGAATAAATAAACTTGCCTTAAATTTATTCCATATTTACTTATTTATAGTATGTCTCATATAAGCTATAAAGCAAGTTGGTTACCAAAGGTCTGACGCCAGTATGATATTAAGTTTGAATTGGCACCTAATAATATCATAAATACTTTATTTCATATATTCAAAATTTTTTTATTCAATTTTAAATAATCTCTTTTTCATAGCTCATTATCTAATTATCAATACAATTGTTCCTTATCCAGTAATAGTGACAGAATTTTCAGTTAAAAAATTAATTAAATCCAAACCGCATTATAATCAATAAAATTAAAGATGAATTGCTTTATTTAACGTGATATATATATATATATATATATATATATATATATATATAATAATAATTAAATAATTACTATCGATATCTCCATATCTTCTGTATAATGTATATAATTAAAATTTCTTCATAATTCGTTCTAATTTAATACGATAATGATAAAAGAAGCTAAAATAAAAATTAATATATTAAAAGACATATTAGTATTCAATGTTATCAAGATCTTAAATTGTGTATTATAAATGATATTTTTTGGTTAAAAAATATTATTTTTTTATTCATAAATTTGCTGGAGACGATTAGATATATCGTTGTATAATTACTTATACTATTCATAAAGTTATCTTATTTGCATCTTATCGCCGAATAAATTTAATGTTTGATTAGTATAAATTAATATAAATTCATGCCAAATGTTTTTAAATATGTGCATTAATCTTTAAATTATCTTAATCTATTAAATTCTATTAGGTTCTTATATGTCAAGTAAATATAATATTATTTATATGGTTATTTATACTAATAATTTGGGAATTATAAATTTTGTGTATAAATATTTTAATCGTCTATCAATTTTAATATTATTTCCACTAGAGATCATTAATTTAGCGTTATATTTATGTTTTTACAATAGTTATCATTTTGTCATTCATGGATTTCAATAGTTATAATAAATTAATGAATTTCTTATCAAAATAATGTTTATATATAACTTAATGTTGTTGTCTAATGGAATTTAAAAATAACAAGGTTACAGAATTATTTTTTTATATACATTATTTAAATAAAAATTTTGCAGTGATTTCATCATTTTATTGCTTATATTTTTCTTTTAGTAATATATATATATATATATATATATATATATATATATATATGTATACAATTGAAAATCACGAAAATTTGGAAGATGTAAGAAAATGTTAATTCATTCAATAACGATAATCATGTACAAGTTCAAAAGTTAATACTTCATATTATTTTATCTAATTTTACTGAAAAGTCAGTAACTAAAAATGAATTATTATCCATTATTCTGTTTCATATCTGATGCAATTATGATGTCTTAATACTAGTAATATTCTTTTTTTGGTAATATTCTATATATCTTATCAATCGTCATACTTTTTGATTTTTAGTAAATTATCAGTTTTTCTGATATATTATTATAGGTTACATAAAAATATATATTTAATGTCATGATTGCATTATCATAATTGTAATATTTTATTATAATTTTACATTATCAACTTTATTTATCTTTTATCTACACGCAGTCAGTGTATAAATTCAGTATTGCCAATCTATAAATATCTGAGATACAAGCATAATTGAGGAGATGGTTTTACAAATGTCATAAGAAGTTATGTATGGTATTTAAAGTATTACATTAGATAAAAGTTTATGATTCTGCTGTCACTTATTCTATAATGTTTATAATTATAAATTTTCTAATATTTATCAAGAAAAACTAATTTCTGCTTTTATATTTTAGCAAACATAATAATAATATTATTATAAATACTGTATATGATTTATTTTATAATTTTATACATTTGTACATATTGACATTGTTAGGAAATCTCTTTTAAAAAAATCATTTAAACATTTAACCAATAAATAACTTTAATAGTTAAAAATTTATCTTGTATCAGTGTACGTTATTTTGACAATTTTCGTTAATTATATCTATCACAAGTTGTATAAAGTATATATATATATATATATATGTACAATGGTTAGCTGAAAGAAAATTCCTAATGAAAATGAAACAATCTATTTTAGTTTATTGATGAACTGAATTCGTTCATCATTTGATTGAATCGTCACCTGCAAAAAAATCATTACATTTACATTTATTTAAATATTCAGTCTCTACAGATAAATCCACATTAACAGACGAACATATTTTTCCAAGCTGTTTTACTGCGAAATTATTATTTACTTATGATTTTTCTTACATTTAAAAAGAACACAGTGTGCAAGTAAAGTCTAAGTCAGAATTTCTTTCATACTATATAAATATGCTTATATAAATGGTCTACATAGATATAACATATAATATGGTGCTATAGATAATTTTATGAAATTATTAGGACAAGAAATAATTGATAGAAGAAATTTAATAAGAAATTATCGAAGATACACTTTGTAAATATGATTTAATATTTCTAATTTGATTTTGATAGAATAAATATATAATTCACTTTGTTAGTTCATTAATGGAAAGAACTATAATATAGTAATGTACGGATTTTATAAAATTTGCAAACATTCCAATACTTCTTATATTATATGTTGCATACATATTTCGATAACTTATTTATAGACAAAAGTTAGGTGAGAAATTTCATTTTATATTTATATTTTTATAATTCAATAGAAAGTTTTTAAATAGTGCATATATTATGCATATATAATTTAATGATTTTGCTCTTTTTATATATTGTCTATACTTTTATATTTAAAAAGTTTAAAAATTGTTATCTTGTAATATCGTTACAATTAATTTTAAGAATTTTGTTTATATTCATAGAGATAAAATGATAAATAATTATATTAAATAATATATTTAATTGTCCGAGAAACATTAATTCAAGTTCAAGGAAAGAAGGAAAATTGTGACACATTTGATATAATCGTTTCTTACGGAAATTGAACAGATTATTATAATATGTTATAGTATAAGATATTGAGTACCGAAGTTAGAGAATGTATAGATATTTTTATGCTTATATTAATTATTTTATTATGAATTGTCAGACTTATAATAATTATTATAACAATGTGTAATATTCAAGCGAACCATTTTATCTTGACTGGATCCTTACGTAGAAGATGAAAGATAGAACATCGGAAAAAAATGTGAAAATCCTTCTGAACTCCAACAACGACAAAAAAAGACTTTCAACATTTAACAACGATAATTTGAAATTTATCATAATGAATGTTTATTAAATAAATAAATTAGCTGTAAAATAAATATTAATGAAAACTTAAAAAAATTGTTTAAAGAACAATTTTACACAATGTCAATTATATATTATATTATTTTATTAAAAGCGTTTTTATAAATTTATAGAACGGATGGTGAATGATATGTAGCACGTATTATTAAATGCATAGAATAAATTATAAACGTATAAGATTTATGGATTACAACATTTTTACTTCATTCCACTTCTTGTTGTCTACAACTCAGTAATGCAATTGCAATATTATCATCCGAATTTTGGTAGAATAACAACCAATATTATCTCAATTGTAACTTGGCTGCATATTGCAGATATTTACTTTATATAATACCAGTATCAGCGGTACAAGTTAATAATTTCGAAATAGTAAAAATAGATTTGATAAAATCGACATAGGGATAAACTCTTGTATATATATCAGGAATACCCACTGCGCAATCAAACACCCGCGCACCAATACCAACAAATTCTCCATTACTAACCAAGGGTGATCCACTGTCTCCCTGTAAAATTATTAAAATAATGATTATTAACATATAATTTAGAAGCTCCGTCAATATTATAAAGACAAATGTTTAATTATTTGATACTCATTTAATAGTATTCATCCATACAATTGTGAAAAATGCTTTAAATAAATCATTAAATATTTAATGATGAATTGATATGAAAAATTATCTTGAAATGTTTTTAATAATATTTTACTCGATTTTTACAAAGTGTTATAACGCATATAATGATTTATTTAATGAGCCATGGATGTCTATACGTTATATTTTCAAATTCAATGCTGGAATATGTAAAAATATATTGATTTTTGTAATTAAGATTTTATACATTGTAATAAGCCTAGGATTAATATATTTTAAAGAATCTTTAATAATTTCACTAGGAAAAAAAACTACATCTAATTAATTTTTAATAGATACTGTATTATTTTATCACGAGTTTTATGCATTGAGTTATTCAATCTGAATTCATGTATACTTAAGGCGAAACTAAGTTTAAGAATGCATATTTCGTCAAATTAGCTATTTTATTAGTTAATTTTTCTATATTTTAATAACTTACATAACATGCACCAATTCCCTTTCTCTCAAATACACACATCAGTTCCATAATAGACATTTTAAGGCTTTTGTGACATTCAGAATTACTCAGAATTTTCGTGGAAGCCTTTTGTAATACGTCGGCAGGTTTCAAAATATTGACATTTGTTCGTCCCCAACCGGTAATCACACCAACGCTGCCAGCTTTAACATCTTTAGTTGGGAGGTTTATTTTATTTTGGAATTCATTGAATATAATGCATCGATCAAGCTATAAAAATAAAATATATCTGAAATAGTTAAAAAGATTCTAAATGACAAAAAATTCTAATGTTTTAATTAAATTATTTAGAAACAGTTGATTATTTTGACAAACTCTGTTTGTATATTTACTATGCATTATGATTGTTGTGAAAAAATTTTGTAACAATGCATTTATTATTAAATATACGACCATTTTAATGAAACTTATTATACGTGAATTTAAATTAGAGATTTCAATGAGTTTTTTGTGTCGAAAAGATGCTATTTATTAGTCTATTTTGATCTATAATTTATTATTTACGTATTACTGAATATTATTAATATATACTGGATAAATTATTTTTATCCAAAACTAAAATATCAATTGATAAATACAATTAATAAATACATAAATATTGGATTACTATTTGACGGAGAAGAAGAACTTTAAAGAATATGCGAATATTATTTTAAATTATAAATAAAGCTAAAATATGAATTTGTTAATATGTATTTATTCGCAGGTCGGAATTGTATCCTGTTATTAATAAAATGACGGGTAAATAAATATTTATAGTTTATATTGAAATTATAGTATTTTCCTGAATAACCGAATTTTCAATTTACCAGATGGTTTTCATCATTACATTAGTGTCTCGCATTTGTCTACATATTAGATTTTACAATTTCCTTACTGATCTTACACAATAAAAAGCAATGCAAGCGCAATAAAATTTAATATTGAAGCACAATCAAGATCTTATATACTTAAGAAACTCAATAACAATTGAATCACCACATTACAATTTACAATCATAAATTAGTATCTGTCGATTTAAAAATACCATAATAACAGCAATGTCATTTCTTATATCATTCTTAAATTGTGGATGGATTACAACCGTCATTATCCCATAACTATTATCTTTAGAATCTTGCAAATTACTATTTCCCATATAGATTCTTATTGAAGCATAGTCGCGTTCTGCAACGCAGTGAGCTGCTGTCAGAATATGCCAGTTGCTAATTATTGTACCACCGCAAAAATGTTTTTCAACATTTAGCATAGCTAAAGACACTACATACGGAAATTCTTTTATATCAGCATTTTCACCTCCAATAATCCTGGCACTTTTACCAAAAATACCTATAATTGATTGAATAACAGCAATTTAGGTAAGAGAGAATTTATGTTTAAAGAATTATTATTATTAAAATAATTACTTTACATTGAATATAGAATATTTCACCAGTTAAAAGAATTTAAGACAAACAATATTTTAGAAGATTAATAAGACAAGTCATAAGTTTCATCTTTAAAAAGTCTAATTTCATAAATCGAACATCTAAGTCGTACAGTATTATTATAATACGAAACTTAAAAAAATAATAATAATTTTATTAATATGCCGATTAATTTCTCATTTTTTTTTTATAAACAATGTCTATATTTGTAAACTATTTTTAATAAAATTTTCAAGCCTTTTACTTCAGTGTGGCTATTTCTAATGCAAATATTATAATGAAACACGTCAATTAACTCGATAACAATCATTCCAACGTAATAACACCTGTACTATAAATATAATAATAACTTCACATTCCACTTATTCATTTTATTTAACAGTATTAATTTTATTTAAAATTCTAATAATAAAATTTATGACTCTTTAATGACGTTTAATATATATTAAAATGGTATTACAAAAAAATATATCTAAGTAAACATTTTAACTGACAAATTAAATTTCATATATCTATGTTATGATATATATATATATATATATACTGATATATACTAATATATAATATACTGATATATGACTTACCAACAATTTCTACCAAACAGAAACATACAACTAATTTTAATTTCATCCTAGCATTGGTAAGTACAAGTTTATTACTATAATTTTCATTTACTTTTAATACACTTTGTATTTTATACAGAAAACCACACGAATATAACAATTTATATTTTTAGAGAAATTAGAGTATTTTATAAAATTCACTATTTGCAAATTAAAAATTTGACTATTAAATTTTGTATTTATCGCACAAGTGTCAAGTCAACACTTTTAATACTTTAAAAAAATACTTTTAATACTTTAAAAAAATACTTTTATAAATTCTACTGTTTAATATAATAATAAGAAGAATTTCGACATATATATGTGCGTTAGGTTCTTGAAAAGTAACTACCTTCGTTAACTGTTGAACAACAATTAAGTGATTTTCTACAGATACTCAACATCTGAGTAGACATTCGTTTATGTATATAAATTAATATTAATATTTCATTATTTATCTTTCTAACTAATGAAATAGATAAATATTTTGTATATTTTACATGAATCAGCAATTTTATTTAGAATAATGATATATTATATATGCCAATATCGTAACGACATCTTTGTAGTGCTTACATAACATACATTTGGTTTTTGTTCAAATAAGAATAAATAACTTTTTAATAACCGAATCTACTAATATTTCATATAAAGTATAATTCAAAACACTATTTCATCCTTCTTAATATTTTAAGGTATGACATACATTGCGTGTATGTGAATATGTGATCAAAGAAAAAGAGAGAGAGAGAGAGAGAGAGAGAGAGAGAGAGAGATAAAAATCTCCAGTTAATCTTAAACTTAAAAATATATTAGTATTTAAAATTTTATACAAATACTAGCATGTTTGACTAAATTAAATAAATAAAAACAAATATATATGCATATAGACACCCACACACGCGTACACACATAGCATATACTCTTTAATATTAATTGAACGATTGTTTTAACAATAATAATTAAAAATATTACTTTACGTATATGATTATGTAAATTGAAAAGTAACATAGAATGTAAAAATTTAAGAAATAAAGAAATTATTACAAGTATTTATTAAAGAATTTATTGTCCACTCTATATTCATTAGAACGGGACTATTTTATCATTAATTATACTCTCAAAATAAATTTTTTGGTGAAAAATATACAATAAAATAAAACTTCTCACTATATTACTTGATAAATCGTTAAAATATGTACTTATTTGATGTAATTTATTTATTGTATTATAATGAATAATTTGGTTGGTGTACCGAAATAAAATTAATAAACATGCTAGATAATAATATTGAAATAATAATAATAATAATAAAACTAATAAAAATAAAGTAACATTTGTATGATATTAATAGAATATACTCTATTGATAAATGCATTGTTTATCTTATGAAAATATTTCATAGGATTATCGATAAAATTTTTAACCAACCCAAAAGTTTTTTTACTTCAATTCATAAGCGATACGATTAAGGATTAATCATTTTATTATTAATGTTAAAAATTAAAGATTATTTATAGTGATAACAATAATAAGAATTTATTGTTGGATGCATTGTTGAAGTATTGTATAAATTGTAGACAAATTTTTCTTTTAAACTGCATTATTACTTACTGTTGTTATATAAAATTTAACAGTAATAAAATCTAAAATAAACTATTGGAAAAATAATTGAACTTCTTTTTAAATTTCTATTAACAAATCACAATTGGGATGTAATAGTTGAAAATTTTTGGCATATATTTTAAAAAAAAAAAGTAGAGATTTTACTGTTATCAGCGAAAAATATAATAATAAATCATATAAGAAAAGAAAAAAGAATTAAAGTCGTAAATATACAGTTTCAATTAAATAAGTAGTTTTAAGCAATTATGAAGACCAATATTAGTACACCATTAATCCTATAACCAATTTCTGAAAATAAAAAATGATTATGTAATCTATATTAACTATTATTGCAACCTCATAGAAGCCAATAAGTAAATCCCAAATTAAATTGGCTTAGGCTAAAATATTTCCCCCATGCAACACCTTGATGTTAAAAATTTGAATGGAATTAAAGAACAAAAATATACAAATTATATATACAAGATCTACAATTAATACACAATTTTATCAAATTTTATAAACTTTTAAAAACTTATCTACGAAAAATACAAAACAATAAAACCTCTTTAAGACGAGGATTCTAATAATACAATTTTTATTAATTTTAATAGTAATTGAAAATTGAATGATTTAAATAATTTAACGATATTTTCTATTATGATATAATATTGGGCGGGCATGTTTAAAATAATATAATATTGCATTTCTATTAAGAATGTAGTACGAGGATATGCATTATTTTTTAAACAAAGAATACTGATAATGAATAACAATTATATTGTATAATTATGATCTCTGTATTTTCAATGATATAAGAATTAAATGCTGCTATACTCAATTCGGATACTCAATTCTCAAAAATACTCCTTTTTCATTCAAGATATATCATTTTTAAATTATACATTTTTCAATTATACATTTAAAAAAAAATTTCAGAAATATTCTATATGCATATAAATAATGTGTAATAACAATGAATTATAAAATATTTAATGAATGTAAATTACATAAAAATGCATAATTGTGTATATAGTTATATATATATTTATGTATTTGTATACACATTCACGATATTCATTAAATAACAACAAAAATGAATTAAATTGAAACACAGTATTTAACGATTATGTAACATTTTATTATCTAAAGAAGAATTAGACCCTTTTTTTAATTATCACTTGTTTAAATAGTAAATAGTCATAGATTTTTTTTAACTGATAAAAATAGTTTAAAAATGAAATAAATCTGATTTGAGATCTTCATTGAAAACGACGGTATTATTTTCAATAAATAATTTTTCATTTTACATATCTATTTTAATTATAAATAAATAAATGAATATATATATATATATTACTTTTGTAATAATAGGGAATGATTCTATTTTGTATATGAATAATTCCTTTATAATATCTTAATGTATATTATTTTAAAAATGTAAAAATTTTAAGATTTTCCGTTTTTTTTTTTTTTAATAGACTGTGCTGTTTGATAGAATAATTAGTATCTATTCTTTGTCTTTGATAAGTATGAACTTCAAATATCTGTATAATAATAATAATATTTATAATATGAGCTCTAGACGAATATTGATTTGTTCAATACTTTCTAAATATTTCACGACTTATCGTCAACTAACAAAATAATTAGCGTTTATACATGAAAAGTATTATTTCATTATTTTCAAGTTGAAATTGTATAAAATAAATTAATAACATAATTTCCAAGAATATACATGTATGTACATAAATTACAATGTTCATAAGCATTATTTATTATAAAGTTTAATTTCATAATAAATTGGATTTCTACCATGCCCAATAGATTCGATAGAATTAAATTCTAATTGACATTATTTAATGTTCATTTCTAACATACAAGTATTTATAAATGCATATATATATATATATATATATATATACTTTCGCGTATTATTTAAATATGATATGTTACATATTTGTAGATTCAATACTTCAGCAATAGATTTTTTAAATATACTTAATAAAAAAATTATGTTAATTTGTTTGTTAAAATTAAATTTCTTAAAAGTACTTAAATAAGAAGCTCTTAATTAAATAATTTACTAAAACAATATTCATAAGTATAGGTTTCGAAAAATTTATGAGACAAATCAACGAAGCAAACCATAATTGCAATTTTCAAAGTTTTTATGTAGAAATGACTACACTATTTAAGAAATTTCAATATTCAATAGTTTATTTTTTAATGCATATTTAAAGATTTGAATAGTACTTGGATTTATTTAACATATTTAACAAAGTCAGATATCCTTTATTCTTGTTTCATTAATAAAATATGGCAATTTTACACACACTATGTTAAGTGTCGGGATTTTTTTTTTTTTTTTTAGCCCATCATCTGTAAAAATAATTTGATTTATAATTTTTAAAATATTTCATAATTAAAGTTCCAAGAACTTGAATGTAAACATCATAGTAATTACTGAGTATGCGCATGAGTATTACTGTCAGAACAAAAATATAAAAAATTTAAATTATTTTCATTATTGTATATCGGTTTATGAAATTAAATAAATAAAAGAAATGTACATATGTATATTAAGGATTGCATTGATAATTATTGAGGTTACATTTAAAATTGAATATATTTATTGATTAATTTATATTTAAAAAACATTCAAAAGCCACATTATATTGTAATTTATTATCCAAGTAATTCAAAACTGAAAATAAACTAAATTGTTTTTTAATCGCAGGACGAAAAATAGTTGTAATTTTTAAATGCATAAAGCTTTATCATTCGGTAATTCTGAATGCCAATTATAGGTTATGGTGTCCATAATTATATTTATTCTATTCGTGTTTTTCAACGTTATAGGTTAGATCATATCGCATGTTTTTAGATTAGAGGTAGTTCGGAGTGGTTATTCAAAAATTAATGAAAATAATCATTTGTATAAGTGTCTGTTATACATTTATCTGATCGAGCGTTTGTATTATTATACAAAACATTTATATTAATAAAAAGAAAATATATAAAGTTTTATAATGAGTAAAGTTTACATATCATTGAAAGAAGCAAAACATCAGTTTTCTATATTACTTGATTCCATTACTGAATCTGATAAGGCAGATTTCATTTCATCTATATATAAAGAACAGATTTGCAATGAAACTATTAATGATTATTTAGATGGTAAATATTGATAATTATAATTAGATTGTTTGCTATGAGCGGTAAAATTTGTTTTTGATCTTAGATTCCAATAATTTTGAGAATAAAGGCGAAGGGTTTCTCGATGATCCAATAGCGACATTAAATATGATAGCTAATGATGTAAAGAAACGAGTTCCTTTAGATGCTATATTGTCGTCTGAAAATATTAGATCGCCTACAATAGGAGAAGTAAAATATTTATTATATATAACAAATTTAAAAAATTTATTGATCGTTTGATCGTAACAAAAAAATTGTTTAGAATGCTGATTGTCTTCCACATTTGACAGTCCACGTGGATGAGTTTTTATACGACGAAGAAGATGTTGAAGAACTCGTTGAAGAAGGTAAATTGAAGAGAAACTACTGCAAGGATTGTGGCTCAAAAAATATTGACTCTTTGAGTAAGAATAAAAATTTAATAAAATAATTTCATAAATTGCACTGTCCTCATAATATATTAAATATGGAATAATTATTATTTTAGTATTTACATCTCATTCTATGTCAAGAGCTGATTTATTTTTCATCTTTAATAATAGTCTTCCTACACTCGAAAACAAAGTTGTACTAGACATAGGTTCCAGATTAGGTTCTGTTTTATATGGAGTAAGTGTACAATTATTTTATTATGTACGTGGTTTCGATTTTATGTAATTCCAACCATTTTAAGGCTGAAGAATTAATTACACATTCTTATGTGAAAAGTTAAAATAGTGATTTCCAAGCTGAGAGAAAAAAAATTAAAAATATGAAATTTTGTAGACTTAAAATATTTAGCTGCACTTACATTATTATAGGCATTTTGTTATAAATAAAATTTATTATAATTAAAATTCTGAAATTTAGAAAGTTAGTAATTATAGGCGATAATGTATAAAACGATAACAAATGAATTAATGAATTATATATTTAACAGTACATGAATAAACTTTCAGGCATACGTTTTTACCGATGCATCACGTATTATTGGAGTGGAAATGAACGAAGATCTTTGTAAATTACAAAAAGATATCGTGTCTAAATACAATATGGAAGATCGGATAGAAGTTCTGCATAAGAGAATAGAAGAAGCCGAGGACATTGTCCAATTAGCAGATGTAATAATAATTAATAATCCTTTCGAATTTTATGTTTCAGAAAATGAACATATTCAAATTTGGCAATTTTTGAGACGTCACATTAAAAGGGAAACTATTTTAATAACGTGTCCACATTTAGAAACAATATTTAAATCTTTAAATACTCAAATACATTTAAGCAATTGGGTTAAACCGTACAATTTAGGATGGAATGAAGCAAATATGTTTTACAATAAAACAAATACAGAAGATACCAGTTTTAATGATATTGCATTTTATGAAATTATTTAAGCTCTACATTAATTTTTATACAAATCTGAACTGAATGCAAATGCTAAAATTCCATTATTCATTCGTATATAAATATTAATTTTATTTTATTTCTAATAAGTGAACTAAATCCATTAGTTTTAAACAAATAATGAAAGAAAAGTATATTTTGCAAACTTTTAGAAAAAATTTGTATAATGGCATAAAATGAATGTTTATTTTTATTATAAACAGAATATTTTCATAGTATATTAATAATTTAATCTACATTAAGATTAAGATAATTGTAGTTTAGCTATAGACTTTATTAATTTAAAATTAATTTAAAAACTTACACAAAAAAAATATATATATATATATATATATATATATATATATATATATATATATATAAATATATATGATCAAAAGTGTGATCGGAACTAAAAAATCTTGCCCTAATAAAGAGAAATATATATATATATATATATATATATATATATATAAATTATTTCTTAATTCTCTTTTTATTAGTTATACTTACCAAAAAAAAATTTTTATTTTGAATATAAAATAAATTTATTTAATTTACAAAAAACACATGTTTTTTTTATGGTTTTGTTTTAAGTATTACGCGCAATTGCAAGTAAAATTAGTACAATTAATTATATCAAATAAAGTATTTATTTTAATGTTCGTGAACAATAGGATATTATACTTTTTTATGTTATATTGTATTTATTAATAGTAAAGAAACAATGTCAATTTTAAAAACTTCCGTTTTCAGCTGTATAATTGAAACAAATAAATAATGTATACGTAATTATTAATTAATTTAATAAGTATATCATAAAATTAATTATATATTTTCATATGTTTTGCTCTCACCTATTGTATTTTATACCAGCTTTAAATTCAATAAAGTGTGTGTTCGAATTTAATTAATTAAAATTGAAATAAAAATTTATTTCATCACATAGTGTGTTCATTAATATAGAATAGTTATTTATTGCAATAAATAAAAAGCAAATAGAATGCTACGTTCGTTGGTAGTTTGTATCTACTGAATTTTTACAAACTTTCCCTGAAGCTTATAAGAAACAAAAGTTTTTTAATTTCTATCTTGAATTTCACTATTTCACTATTTGTACCGAATTATTATTTCTTTCGATGACCCGGTTTGTTAAACCTGAATATTTCATCATTTATAAATGTCTCGGTGTAGAACGGAGGAAGGATTAGTGCACGTCGTGATAATCAACAATAAAGCAAAAATAAAGAAAATCACTTAAAACTGTAAACCTCGCGTCTGCAATGGACACGCAACGATGCAGCGCACTTCTTTAGCATTTTAAAAAAGTGATCCACAATGCCATAAATTGTTGAATAACTCACTTGGTTTCAGTATACCATGGGAGTGAGCCTCTCGTGAAGAAGCTGAAATAATAAAAAGACCAGCCAACAGCGGCACTTATTAATTCAGAAAAGGAAAAGAAAAATTGAACATCAAGGGCCATCGACAATGCTTTGCTTGTATTATTATTATTCTTGTTGTTGTTATTGTTACACGTATAACTAATCACGTAGAGAGCGCGTTTCAAGTCGTGCCGTTTTCCCGTTTCTTTTCCTCGAGGAGCGAACGGGCACAGGGGATCCGGACGGGGGCCACCAGAGAGTGCCAGTCGCGCGCTGTACTCGCTAGCGTTTAGTTGTCCGCGCGGCTCACAATCATCATGTTATGCGCCCGGAGTGACAGAGTGGAGCGGCACCCGCGTGCTTTGCTGTAAAGTTCTCGCGTGTGCTTGAAGGTGAGATGTGTGGGGTCGGTGAGCGAGCCGTTATGTAGGTAAGATACGAGATGCTATGGGCCTATTAGCTTTTCTGCTTGCCTAGTGTGTCGAAAGCTGACGCTCGGAAGGGTCTTCGCTAGGGCTGACATGTAAAGGAATCGAGGATAAATTTATATCGGAGCTGCTGCGTTGCGCTTCGTCAGTAATTACGCGGAGGCAAATGAGGAGGGAAGCTCGTCCACTGGGTGCGCAGTTTTTGATTACACTTGGACATTGTCGTTCTCTTCTTGAGTATAATTTAAAAAAGACTTGTTTTCTTTTTGTACGCTTGTCTGCGTGGGTGAGTGTGCGTGTGTGCGCGCGCGCGCGCGTGTATATGTTTTAAAGTCGAAACCAAGGCTTTAAACTTCTCTTTTATCGTAATTAATTTGTACTTGTAATTATTGAGCCAAGCGTTTGTTATTAATCTTACTGAAGTGAAACGGAGATATATTAAAGGGATACGTTCGTGCGTGCCTAAAATTTTGGCCTCTTATCGTTTGTGCATTTCATTCCACGCCTACATTGTGATAAGCTGGTCATTTTCAATGCCGCACTCTTACCGAAAATCATACTTTTTCTTTAATACGATCAACATTTATACGTTTAGAAAAATTGCTAAAAATAAATAAATAAACGATGAAGGTTGAGAATAAAAATGAAAATTTTTATTACGTCCGGCAGCGCAATATTCATGTATCTTTCTCTTTCGACCGTTTTCTATCCTCGTGCGATAAAAATTGACACTACACCACTACTGCTACTACTACTACTACTGCTACTACTACTATCGCTACTACTACTACTGCTACTACTACTGCAGCTATTACTACTACTGCTACTACTACTACTGCTACTACTACTACTGCTACTACTACTACTGCTACTACCACTACTACCGCCACAACCACCACTACTATTACAAATAAGAAAATTAATTATTCCATTTGCAGTAGATTATTTTATGTATCTATAACGAGAAATTGAAATGACGATAATAGCATATATATATTTGACAAGAACCACTAGGCTTCGTAACGAAAATAGCACTACTAATGATGAAATTAAGTAAAAAAGTTTTCTTATATTAAGTAATGAAACAATTACTTATTTTTTAACTTCATTAGGCAAACCTTCACAACTCCTATAGTTATTCCGTGCATATTTAGTAATTTCGGTCATTATTGTATCTTTTAATAACTATTATTCAATAATGTAATGCATACATGCACACATATTTATCATAAACTATAATATAATACTCATAATTTATGTATAATTTTTATTTACGTACATTGGCATGTTTGGTTCTGTATTTGATTTTTTAAATTTTAAACTATAATTCATAATAGAATATGATTGATTATTTGAAATAAGTATATGGTTTAGTCTGAATAAAAATAACTTTTATACGCAGAGAAATAATATTAAATAATAAATAAAATAATATTTTTGTAAAAAAAAAAAAAAAAAATGTTGGCATCGTATATTATTTAGAGCTTCTAAAATTTGACAAAAAAAAAAAAAAAATAATATAAATGAAAATTCATTGATTAGATCATTTTAATAGTGCAGTGGTTCAATAACAAAAAAGAAAAATCATAAAATTTTGTCGAAATATTGTAAAAACTAATATTCATTTTGTTCAAATAAATATCGAATTTATGAATATGGTAATAAAATAATTAATGACAATTTTGTTACAAGTTTATCTTAATATAATTATTATATATTCAATTATCATATTTAATAAACATGAGTTTATAAATATATGATTATAAAATCAATGTGTTCAAAGGATCGTGTTTATGATAATGCAATCTAATATGAATAAATTTCAATTAAAAATTAATAATCGCTAATAGTAAGAAATAATATTTAGAAAATCTTCAAAAGGCTATGTAGGCGAATGAAAATTCATTGCCATAAATATATTATACACTTTATATATATATAAGTCATATTATATTTTATTTCGAATATAAAAAATGAGCAGTTTAACTAATATTTTTATATTAAATTTACATCCGATACAAGCAAATGCTATTTTTATGAAACTGAGTCTAATAACTGATTCTAAGTACTTTAATTTATTCGTTATTTTTATTCTCGCGATATTTTTGCACATATACCAAATTCAATTGCAATTAATAATATTTCATGAATTATTTATAATAAAGATGTTATCTAAATTTATCATCTAATAATGGGATATTATAATAATACTATTTATATCACATTTTTAAAGAATAATCAGGATTGTCAATTTGTAATGTAATTGGACTGTTGGTGCTAATAAACTAGATGAGCAATCTAAACTAATTGTAAATGGTTAAAATAATAATATTTAAATTTTCCCAACACCTCACTCAATAGCTCCTCTACGAAGCAAAAGGTAAAATAAAAAAAAACAAAAAAAATTAGAAAACGCATGCGAATTCAGAAATTCGTACTAGCGCATAAGCTCTTGACATTCGTAAATTATGTATAGATTGTGAATTGCCAACGAGTCATCTACGCGGGCTCGCGACTGTGACGTGAATTCACATGGAACGTCGATAATCGACAAAGATTCGATAGTTGCTTTTATGCGGCTTTTATGAAAGCGCCGTAAGTGTCGCCGTTTGGACGAGCGACTTTTACAGAAAAGGCGTGGAATGATTGTAAACGGATTAATCGAATTAACTGGAAAAGTTGAAAATTAATGTGCGAAAGATCCGAGTAAGTTGGCATTTACACTTGATCTCCCACTTCTCCTGACTTTATTTCGTCTGCCAACAGGGCGTAGCCTCTGGCGTCGATAGCATCGCTTTTCAATAAATGCAGTTCGGAATTTCCGCACTAAGTGGAGTGCGGAAGAACGGATTATGTCGTTGAGCATTGGCTTGGGATAGGGAAATCATTAAATACTTTTTCATGCACAAGTATGCAAGATACCTTATGTATGCCGTTATGTGTCTTTTTATGATACGAATCCAGATTGTGCGAATATATTTTTATTTTATTATTATTTGTTTTTTTTTTTTTATATATAATAGGGCATCGTAGTGGAATTATTAGAGAACATGTATTTGGATGCTATTGCTGCATTATATAATCAATATATTTCGTGCTTTGATGATTGAAAATTTGTAAATTTGTGTAGAGTATGAGCAAAGTTTTTTTTTTTTTTTTTTTTTTTTTTTTTTTTTTTAAACTGAAAAAGTTGCTTTATTCTTTTTGAAAATTTTTTTTTTTTTTTTTTTTTTTTTTTTTGTACATATTACTGTTGGAGATTATTTTCACTTATAAGAATA